AAGTGCTACACTGTAAAAAATGATTTTTTGGTTAAGTAAATACTAGTGAAAAAACCCAATGTAATTTACTTGAAAAAGTTAGTTTAGGGAAGAATTTAAAAAACTAAGTAAATTCCATATCAGTACTTATTTCAAGCGAGTATAAATGAAAGTGTAATATCAACTCAATAAAATTAAGTAAAAATTACTCAACTTTTCTGATACTGGGGTTCCCATCATGCACTGGACCTTGAATAATTAATGAGGTTCATTTTTCACTGGTTTCCAGCTGTATTTACACTGTTTTATCATTGATTTTTGTTTTCAGTATTAGTAAATTGCCATTTTGTGACATTTTGAGTAAATTTTTTGCTTAAAACGACACATTCAAACACAAAAACGATCCATCAAATGTTACCACCATTGTGTATTGTCTACCAAATATTGAGGTGTTTACATTCACATGAGGCTTAAAGTCTGACATGATGTATATATAAATTACTTAGATGATCTAAGTAAAGAACATACTATAAATGACTAATAAAATTCAAGATAATTGTTTTAGTGAAGTGTAATACAAAGGCAAAGGAAATCGGTATTAATCAACCAGCCGAGTTAAAATTACTTATTTTTTGTAAAGTTTACTTAATTCCACATTCCAAGTAAATTTAACTTAAAGATTTCTAATTAAAGCTAGTGATAAATATGTTTAGGTTTTTACTTGGCAAATCTTTGTAAATTTACTAGCATTTTCTGAGTGAGATCGTTTAGCAAGGTTTTTTCAAGTAAATCCTACTCCAAATTTTTTACAGTGTATATGCCTATGAAATGCACATGAGCCATTAAGGATTAGCTGCTCATTGGGTTCTTAAGTGCAATTTGAACTAATATGAAGCGACATCTTGTGTAAGACAGGCTCTAAACGAATACCTCTTAGAGGAGCTGGAAAAGCCACAAGCATGAAAGAGTGCAAATCCATCAATCCACATCCACTAAAGAAAGACAAAATCAGTACTGAAGTAATAAGACAATTCTGAATCATTAAGCTGCTTTTTGACTGAGCTATCTGCCTGGAAGCTGGAAGAAAATACTGCAGAAGGGGAACTGCCATCGTGAATAAAACACCTGCTCCTCTATTGTTAACTTTGTCAGTTTTACCTCTAATTATGTTATAAATAACCAGCATTTGTCTGGTGAATTTAAGAGTTATGTGTTATTCACATTGCCTTGACTCTTGTTGCTCTGCCTTGACTGTTGCTGGAAAGCAACAAGCTCATTTAACAAAATTCGCTCATAAAGAAAAATCAAAGATTTATCTTTTCATCTTAATAATTGATATTTCTTTACTGCGACTCATTTTCCATAAAATAGCCTACTTAATAAAACCAATAATTAATAAATAAAAAAAATCCTGAAAACAAGATAAATTTACTCGCGAAGGAAAGGAAAATTGTTTAAGATAATAGACTTTGTTTTCAGAGAATATTGCTGTTCAAAACTTTGGGGTCAGTAAGTTTTTTTTAAAGAGAGTAATAGTTTTATTCAGCAAAGACACATTAAATTGATCAAAAGTGACATTAATTTTAGAAAAAAATTAGCTATCAAATGTATGCTGTTCTTTTGAACTTTCTTTTAATCAAAATCCTGATTTTTTTAATCACAATTTCCATAAATGGCCTACACAAAGCAGCACAGGTGTAACAACATTGATAATAATCAGAAAAAAGCACAAATCAGATGATGAATCGTGTGAAGACTAAAGTAATGACTTTTTTTGGTTTAAAAGATTTTTAGCTTTTAGCATGCTTAAAACAAGAAAACATTGCAAATATCCACCTTTTTCTGCGCCCATAATATTATATTATAATATTATATCGTAATAAAAAAACAATATATTTTGTTTTTATCTGAGATGTAATAAAAAAATAACGTGATCAGATCACATTTGATGAAGGTTTTTTTTTTTCGATTTAGTTTAGCGATGTTGGTATGACACAATCTAAAACACATGGCAAAAATACATAGACCAGACGACTCGAACCGGAAGTTGACAACCCGGAGTCGTCGTCATGGCAGCGCGCATATTTAGAGCAGAAAAGGTGGATAGCGAGAAAAAAAAATGTGAAACCATTATTTATTTAAACGTTTTATGAAAGTTTCGATATTTTCCTGAAAGTAAGACAAAAATACTGATTCATTAAACAGTGAAAATGTTTTTTTGCAGTGCTCTTAGATGTGAACGTATCTCTTTTACTGACCCTTTCACTCAAGTTTGACTGTTTCTATACAAGGACTGATATCAAATGCACCTGCCGGCGCAGCGGCCAAAGTATGTGTTTACCATGTTGACCAGGTGGGGCAGACATTGACACAGCCACAGCTCTGTTTACCATTGTGGAAATAACACAGGGATCAATTTGTCTACTTACCAAGCATTGCAAGCTATTGTTAGAGGGATGACTAATTGTTTGAGAACGAGAACAGAAAAGGAAAGGCAATCTCTCTCAGTTCAATATATTTCAGTGATCATTTATAATTAATCTGTGAGCATTCTTTATTGTGAATTGCAATGTCAAGGGCAATTTCTACCTCTTTCTTGCTATATCTGTTGTCTTCCTCCCTGGTAAACCCCAGCAGACATCCCAACGACAATCAGAGGGTGGGCAACCCAACTGCCACGGCTCATGTAAAACCACAACAGTTGCCAGGCAACAGTTGCCTCCACAGCAGGAGCAGAAGTCCAATTGAACATTAATGATTCTGAGCACAAACACACTGGACTGCTGGCGTCTGCTAGATATTTTACTATGGTTAATTACGCAAGAAAGTGACTGCAAAAACACACAGAATTCTTCAGTTCATCTGGGCTAATGAGGAGGCTAATGGAGGCTCAATCTAAGGCCCAATCTGGAGCCTGTGGTTTCTGTGTCACCTTCAGATTTCAAGTCGTTTAATTCTTGCATGAACGGCTCCTGTCTTTCCATTTCCATGTTTCGATTTTGTTTGGCATCCAATTTATCTTGTTGGATGTTCACACTTCAGCAGTGATAATAATTTAAGATGTATCTGGCAGTTTTCCCTTAAACTCAACCCTCATCTGGTAACGGCTAACAGAATCTTTTTTTTTTTTTTTTTTTTTTTTGGTCTGTCATAGTCTTGGGTTCATGAAACATGTCATGAAATAAAATTATTTTCCCATGGTTCTTCATTTTATTTAGGTTATTAAAACAACAGTTCACAAAAAAGTAATTCCAAACCTGTATGACTTTCTTCTGTGGAACACAAAAGAAGAATGTTTCAAATGTTTTTGTCCATAATGAAAGTCAATGGGGTCAAAACCAACATGATTATGCTTCAAATTAAAGAATTGTAGAGTCTATATTATTTGTTAAGATGTAAAAGTAGGCCAAATTATACATGTACAGTAAAGCTGCATCAGATGAACAAAACACAAAATGAAAATGTCTTTTTTATCCATTTAATGAAAGTCAATGAGGTCCAAAACAACATGATTGGACCCCATTGACCTTCATCAAAAACTAACACATTTCAAATGTATCTCCTTTTGAGTTCTGTTCACCTAATGCACGTTGATTGTACACCTCTTATTAGCTATAATCATTATAGACTTTACAAGAGAAGCATACTCTATGTCTTAATAAATCTTTGTGCATTTGGGAAGGTTTAGATAATGGGAGAGATTTACTGAGGATTATATGGATTCATCCTTTAGTGCTGCAACATCTCCAGCCCACCTACTGTGATCACCTTTGTTCTCCAGCGCTGAGATTTATGGAACGGTTCACAAGCTCCCACTGGAGAGAGAAACTAAGAGAGAACAGTGCGACAGAAAAAGAGCCTGATGCTGTTTTGTAAGTCTTCAGCATCAATGGTTGTTCCAAGAACATGAATTTGGCAAAAACACTCTCATCCAATGGACACAATGGACAAATCAACCGGAGTCATGCTATTTGGACATCAACTACATGTAAAATGTTCTGTACATTTTAGCAAAGAAGACAAAATCAGAGTAATCTCAGTTTCAGCAGAGCTCAAATGTGTCTAGAAATTAGTCACTCACTGTGGCTCTATTCTGGGAAGTTGTGGAATTATTTATGGCATTTTTAGTTAGCATGCGGCATTCAGAGACTTTTATTCATAGGAAGTTGTTTTGAGAGGAATTCTGTCAAAGACAAAAGGAGAAAGGCAATTAATTAATGACCGGACTAATGCAATTACGTATGCAAGAGTGCAATTACAAACCTGCAGGAGCATCAGTATCAGCTTGTCGCCTCTCCTGGGTTCACATGGAAGAGAATTACATTTACTCCCTTGCGTAAGAGATTATTGCTTGATGTTTGTATGACAAATTTATTTTGATATTTCTCTTTTACTATATTGATAATATGATACAATTTTAGCTTACATAAAACATAAAAGTAGCCTAATAAAGGAAATTCATAAACTGTAGCGTAAGGTCTGGCAGGTATACTTGTATGACTGTATACCATGCAAGGTCCATTCAGGATTATCAGGAGCAAATTTCCCTCCTCCATCCCCAGCTCCTTCTTTCGTCCAGTCAGGACTTGGCCTATACCTCTTCGAATCAGAGTCATTTCTTGACTTATGTTAAATTAAATGAATGTCACGAAGAACATTAATGATATCATTAACGATAGTAAATAAATAAATAAATAGGCCTACTTTGCAGCTTTCTCGTTGACTAACCAAAAAAGATTTGACTTATTTTATTTTATTTTTGTTTGTTTAGTTTGTTTCCCGTCCATTACGATTTTGACCAGGAAGCTATATTTTTATTATTAAAGAAAATATGTTATTTTAAATTAAATAGCTATGTGCTCACATATGTTACAATTAAATAGCCTACTCAAAACGAGAACATGCCGCCACCAGCCAGGGAGCCTGTAAGATGGACTTCGGATGCTTCGCCAATGCGGACACAGACTAAGTGCTACAAGAGCCGTTGTGTGTGTGTGTGCGCGCGCGCAGGTCTGCTCATGCGCCCATGAAGAGATGCTGCTGCTGAGGATGATGATCAGAGGTGTGTGCGCTGCGGCGGGCTTATTTACACCCGTTCAGGCACACTGCATCAAAGGAAACTCTGGTGCTCCATAGGAAATGGACTTTCTAAAGGGATTCATGTGTCTCTGCGGTGATCCATCTCAAGGTTAGTACTGACATATGGCGTTAAGTGAGTCTATTTCTTTACGTAATCTTATTCCTGCCCATGTCATTCTCTATTGGTGTGTCTGGCAAAATTTTCGCTCTGCGTCCGAGCTGGGAACGTTTTATTTCCAGTCTCTTATAAGACTACACATCTAGCTACACCTCGTCCTAGTCGTTTCCGTTGTTTATTTCTTTAAATGGGAAGTGTCACACTGCTGTGATGTGAAACGGTTGAAAAGAGACAATGTTTTTCTTTGAAATTTCATTTTAGGCACAGCAGTATTCATAAAGCTAATAGATTTATGCAGGGGTTTTTTTTTGTAGGCTACTGTGTATTTTTTATCCCATTAAAATGACGGGTTTATCCCATTATCCCAAATAACGGGTTTTAGCTACTGTGTGCATACGGTAAATGGTGCAATGCTACACCATGTTGAGTCCGGAGAGGCCATAAAACAGAAATCTTAACATTTACAACGAGTTTTGCCTGGGTGCGTTTGTCAAATTAGCCTTTTTATTTTACACGACAAAATAAAAAATTGAACAAATAAACAAACAAATTGCTGTTTAGATTCCACCATGTGCGCCTATACTCTTATCTGAATGAATAGAACAGAGCTTGTTTGTAAACCTATGCGCATGCATTAGGTTGAGCGCGCGCTTGTCCTGAGTGACAATACTGTTCACATTCATTCATGTTACCTTAACCCGTTCGGCTGCGAGTTATGTTCCAAGGGACACAAAACAAGACTGTGCTTTATTTCAATTTAAAAACTTTGTTGTAAAACCCTAGTTGCTGTTCATTATAGACGTATTAGAGCAAGCTCCTTGACAAGCTACCATGTAACGATGTACAATGTACCATATAACCTTATGACCAGATGCTAGCTGGATTGTTGCTGTTCCAAGACTCTCTGCCAGCTTGGAGCAGTTAATGACGAGCTTTTACCAGATAGCATGTTGTAAAAGCCCAGTTACTCACATTAACACAGCCATAGAGCCAAAAAAAAAAAAAAGAAAGAAGAAGAAGAAGAAGAAAGAAGAAGAAAGATAATGATCATGATGCTTTGATAGTTATAGGCTACATATAATGAATGTTGGCCATGGTTCTGAAAGATTCAGGGGTCAGATAAAAGCTTGTTCTAAAGTAAAATAAAATTAATTAATTTTCTATTGAAATTAAATAGGCCTATTTTAAATACGTTGACATTCAAATCGGTATAAAATTTGATTTTATATAAATAAAACGTAAAGCTGCAGTTCGTAACATTTTTTGGGTTAAAAATTATCCAAAATAAGTACATAGCACATAGCAATACATAACCAGCCAGTGTTCAAAACTATCTGCTTGCTTTATTAGCTCGATTCAAAGTGGTAAGCTTGTAATAATGTTTTTAATTCCAGTGGTACTGGTGGATTTCCACGGGAGATTCAAGCATGTCTTTGCGTCATTACGTCACATCTGTACATATAAAGAAGGAGTCTCGGCTAGTTGCGTGTGAGGATGTTGGAGGTGGAGATTTGTAGCCTTTTCTCACGACACTTGATATAATTAAACTTAACAATTTGATGGTGGATGCAGAAAGGTTCAAATGACAATCACCAGTGACAACTGGAGATTCACGTGTTATAAAATGCAAAAGACTTCAGACTTCGGAGTGGCTACAGAAAAAAAAGAGACCATGCAAAAATAAGGATTTCGGAAGGGCTTTTGAAAGGCACAACCCACTTAAAGTTGATAATTCCGCTAATAACTGCAATTTAAGATTTTGAACAGAGATGGCGACAAAGAGGAAAAACTACGGACTGCAGCTTTAATGTTGATTTTGAAAAAATCTTAATAACTAGCTCAGAAACAAACAATAAATGTCGCTTACATGGCCAAACATGTTACATGGATGGTCCACTCAAAGATGCAGGACCTTTTGGGTGACCAGCTCACAGTGCTACACCACCCACATCTTTGACATGTTTCTAGAGACACATACAAGTCTAATGTTAGTGCATAAGCAGTGTAATTCAGTAGCTTAATCTGTTGCTTTTTATTTATCTTTTTTACAGGCAATGTTTTTTTAACACAAAAGATCCATTTGATAACTTCAGTCATGATCTGCAGATAATCTAAATACATTTTGGTTAAGATTAGACATAAACATTCATGCCAGTATACCTTATTTTTTATACGAAACCCAATGGGATATCACAATCAAATGAAAGAAATCATAAATATAAATGAGTTAAGCATATACTTAAAAAAAATACTGAACTGAAATGGGCACTGGGTCTGAACAAATGAACATTTTGAGGCTATTCTGTTTTAAAAAAAAGTAAACATTCTTGTTTCTTTTTTGTCTTCTAGCTCTAAATTTGCCTTACCAGTCCCACAGGCTGTTCTTCCAAACAGTGTGGAAAGGATTTAAACGGCCACATTACTGAAGAGGATTTTTATGACTACATTTTAACTGCGTGTCAGAAATGCCCCCTTCTATTAAATGGTGCATCAGGCGGGCTGTCTGCTTGTCCTTTATTCTTGCACTGATCCCCAGGACCAGAGGATCGACGCTGAATTGCCACAAAATGTGCATATGCGCCAGTAACATTGTCAGCTGCTCCAAGATGAACCTGACGATGATTCCATCCGACCTGCCCAGCTACACAGCCGTGCTTGACATTAGTTTTAATGAGATAACTGGACTACGCGCACAATGGACCAAGCACAAACTCCCTGAACTCCACAACCTTTTGCTCAGCCACAACGGTTTGTCGTTCCTCTCTTCGGAGGCGTTCGTATTCGTAAAGCAGCTGCGCTACTTGGATCTGTCGTCAAATAATCTGCGACAGCTAGACGAGTTCATTTTCGAGCCACTGATACATCTGGAGGTTCTGCTGCTCTACAACAATCACATCTCGCAGATCGACCGCACGGCCTTCTTGGGCCTCGGCAGCCTGCAGAAACTCTACCTGAGCCAGAACCAAGTGTCCCGCTTCCCCCTGGAGCTCGTCAAGGACAAGAACCGACTGGACAAGCTAAGCCTGTTGGACTTGTCTTCCAATCGGATCAAGGTTCTCCCCATTCATGACCTCCAGGTGCTTCCGGCCTGGCTCAGAAACGGGCTGTACTTCCACAACAACACCCTCATCTGCGACTGCGAGCTGTACAGTTTGATGGCTCACTGGTATATCCGAAGACTCAATTCCGCACTGGACTTCAAGGACGACCACACCTGCGTGCACCCCGGCCCGGATAAACAGGTGCTGCGTTTGTTCGAACTCAACACTCATATGAACTGCAGCACGTTTAAAGAAACCGACGAAGAAGCTTATTTGGAGCAGACACTCGTCCTTGGCTGTGACACCCGGCATCGGGACATGTTAAAGACCTGGATGCTACCTGGAAACGTAATGTTATCTCCTGGCAATAACCACAGCGCCGTGGTTCTCCCGGACGGCAGCTTAGAGATAAAATCAATACGACCTGAGGACTCAGGTGTGTACACTTGCTTCGCCGTGAGTGAATACCTCAACGAAACGCTCTATGTGGTGGTCAAAGTCTACAACTTCACCCTCAATGGAAACGGTGAAGGCCTCAACACTGCTTACACCACTTTGGTGGGCTGCTTGGCTAGCGTGGTCCTGGTTCTTATCTATCTTTACCTGACGCCCTGTCGCTGCTTCTGCTGTCCCGACCAGGGTAAATCAAAGAATAATCATGAGGACAGCATCCACTCCTCCATGCTCAGCGTCACCCCCACGCATGACGATATGGCAACCAAAGCAGAGCTCAACAGGCATGTGGCCTTCATAGACCCAAAGGACCTGCAGGGACAGAACGGGAAATTGAATCCTAATGGAGAGGAAGAGGCAGATGAGGAGGCCATGCAAGGGAAAGGAAAGCGGAAGAAATCGGTGGCAGACTCAATTAGTTCGGTCTTTTCTGATACTCCCATTGTAGTCTGAGCGGGGAAGTGTATTTTTGGCTGGAGAGAGTTCATTGTTGTGACTTTCTCGGACAAAGAGACTGAAGTACAGTGTTTGGCTGTTTCTGCAAAACCTTTCCAGCATTTTAATCTGTAGCACTTAAGTATATACTGTGAAAAGGTCTCGCCATATTAGTGGAATCTAAACTTGGAGTGTTTAGATGTTTCTGTGAGTTTAGGCCGACTAAGTGTGACTAGACATAGTCTTGGTAAACATCACATGCAATCTGAAATTTGTCAATGATCAAGCTAGGAAGCTAGATTGAGAAACATTACAGCATTAATACATCCACTATGTAATCACTTCATGAGCATGAGCTTTGCAGACTGCTAATGTCAAGAAGAATGTAGTATAGAATGAAACCCTTGTAGCTAATCATATTTACCACCTTTTATGCTAACTGACTGACCTTACCACTTTATGTAAGCCATACACAGTTGGTCATTGCAGGGGGAAAGCAATACACTATTGCATTATATAATACAGTCACAAGAAAAAGATGGAAAGGTATCTGTCTCTATGGAACATTGTTAGCGTTTTTTTTGAATGAAAGAGTTGACTGAATCAGTTCCCTGTGTAATCAGGAGGAAACACCCATATGATAATACTTATTTAATTAGCTAACTAATTACTGATATGTTGCTATGGAAAAATAAAATCCTTGTCAAACTGGATTAGTTGGTTGAATCTAGACTCATTTCACCCAATTTTTCTTTAAATTTTTTTTTTATATAATTATCAGAATTTTTTATCTTTACATTGAATTTTTTGATTCCAATTACAAAATTGTAAGAAATTATCAGCACAGAGTTCTTATCTATACCAAACTATATGTAAATACAGCACAAATATTATTTCATGTTGGCTAACTCTCGCATAAAAATACAGAATCTCACATGACACCCAGAGAGTGACATATAATGCTAATGCAACCTTTTAATAGAATGGCGTGTCCCATCTGCTTGCATTCTCAATCATCTCTGAAGCTATAGTGATTTGAGCCTGGATTCATCAGCCAAAACAGTTTGGGACACTCAGACCTCTTCTCACTCTGCGTTTATTTGCACTTGTGGTGGTTGGAGTTAGTGCTGAGTCATCCATTGTCGGAATGGACGTCATTTCTTTTCTTTTTTTTTTTTTTTTTGAGCCCTTGAAGCACTAATGTAATATTCATCACATAAAAGCCAAATGCTGAGGGATTTTTTCATTATTATTTTTTTTTATCTTGAACCATTTGAATACGTTTTCTGAATGAATTAAAATCAAGGGTGAACTCAGGTCAAAACGTGGTGATTAGTCAATCCCGCTCATGTCCTCTTATTCTAAATGATTACTTCAGGCATACAGCAGTGATCTCTCAAAGACCAATATTATATTTGCATAAACAATGCCATAGGAATATAAATAAGAATGCTATGAATCCTAATGTAATGCATAAAACTGGTCTGCTGCTCAAGGAAGATGTGTCTAGATCCATATGCATTTCGATTACAACATTATCGTCCTGATGGACTTGAAAGCCATGATAAGGCTGTTCCAGAACACTGGGATATAGGCAATGATGTCATAGAGGGACATACGTGAATTTAGAACGTTTGTGCACACCTAGAACCCTTAATTCTGGGAATTCAGCTTCCATTCATCTGTTCCTGGAAAGAAATTAGACACATCTCACGTGTTAACCATAACCACTTTATAACATTGTTTGGTTGGGTTCAGAAGGAGCAGTATTAGTTTCCTCCGACCTCTTTCCCTAGTAACATTGTAATTACATCCTGTTTTGCGAGCGAGGGAGTGGGTGAAGCTATTAAATGTTTGATAGGTGGATGAACTCACAAACAGTATTATCTCAGGGAGAGGGAATGACAGATAATAGCAGCTATGGCAGACTGCAGTCATGGGCAGTTGCGGTCTCTTACACGTCTCTCCAGCTGCAATCCAAAATTAGTGTTGAGGGGTGGGAAAGGCCTTACCATCACAAGCTCTGTGGGAGGAGGCCTGAGATCTCTGCGGTGCGCTTGCGAAGAGACAGAAAAGCCAAGCGCTCCCCCTAAAACCACATCCAGCAGCTTTTCGCCCCCTGTCTTGTGTGTGTGTGTGTGTGAGTGTTCTTCTGAAGTGTGTCCTTGGCTATATCGCTTCGAGCAGAGTTCTTGTGAAAGACCACTGTTCATTACTCAGCATTTGACAGTACATCTGTGCTTTTTGTATGGGTAAACAGTGTTTGTTTTACAGTGTTTATGAGATTGTGTCATTTTAGGTAGCCCCCCTCTCCCCCCTTGAGGTTCCAAAGAGATTGAATCCCTTGTTCTTCTGTGTATTGTTGTTCATATACAGTTGTCTAGATTCCACTTGTGACTATAGGATATTGGTAAACCTATTTTAATGACACTGACTGTAAAGGTTTATTTCTGTCATGTATTTTGAAATCTGATCATCTATTTGTCTAATATGTGTTATTTAGGCACATAAATTGAGATTTTTTTTTTTAGTGTCAGTAAATTAAATCTCAATGTATCGAGTACCAAAACTTTACATTCACTGTTGCATTCATTGTTTAAATTTCTAAAGTCAACGTGAATTGCCGTTCGCAACCCGTTTTACTTTTGTAATCAGATGTATTTCCAAGTGAAATGTGATATTCTATAAGTAAAAAAAACTATTTAGGCTGGGAAATTGTGAAATTGTGAAAAGTGGACTTTTATAAAAGAGAATGAATCCAGACTGAATGCAATTTTTCTGAAAAAATTGCCGAAATTGCTCTTTGGCTGTTGGTTAAGATTATCCATTAGCCAATATTTCAGTGACCTCTTTCCTTAAATAACCAACAGATCATGCACAATTAAACTAGAAATGTGCGTTAAGAAAGTAAAAAGGGTGAATTTTGATTTCATGTTGACTTGTAGCCTCTCAGAATGTCAAGATGGATAATATTAGAAGTAATTCTAAAGCTGACTCTCAAAATTGCTAAATTAACTTTAGTACAACTGTTCACACCAAGCATGATAACTAGTTTTAATAATTTGGAATCAAGGTCACAACAATAATGATAACGACGACAGTGGAATGATATATGGGCGATACATTAATATAGTTATTGTTCTTGGTGTAAATGAGCCTTAAACTTAGTTGTAGAGACTTGATTAAGTCCCTTCTGTCCTATGCTAAATATAAAATCTTAAAATATAGAATAGTTAAAAAATAGTTTTGTGAAAGTAAGCTATATTGAATACATAAAATAGAGGTAAACCAACACAAATCTACAAGAATCACAGTTATGCATACATATCTGTACCAATTCTTAGTAAGCAAGCATCCTGATATACTTAAAAAAAAAAACACCTGTGTAAATCCTAAATGGTTTGAGATCTAAAGTCTCAACCATCATTAGTTTTTGAGAGGGAGAGCAAAAACAGCGTCAGGTCCAGTATTAAAGCTAGAGGCATTGTTGTAAAAGCTTATTTAGTCTGAAATGTCAAAAACGAGACCGATGAGTGCCGGGTGGCGTGTATTCGTGCGTGGAAACTCAAACTGATTCTGGATCAGCAGTCCACATAGACATATACCTGTGAGAAGTATTATTTATCAATAATATAAAAGTGAATAAAATTGAAATTGACTGTTTTTGCCTGTTTTTATGCTTTCCATTTAAGCAAACATACAGAATCTCAGTTTACTGTAGCCTACATTTAGGCAATATTACTTATCCAATGCATTTTGTAGTTGCAGGAACCATTAGCTTACACAACACAACATATAATGTTAAGATATTTGTGTAAAATGGGGTTATCTAACTTTTTAGTGTCATCTAGTGGTGAGATGAAGCAGCTCAATTCATTAGAACCAAGACAACAGAAACACATTGGCATATTTATTTCAGAGTCTGACAGTCCATTTAGCAGCATAAAGAAGGTCTTGAGGTATTTATATATTAATTTGCAGGTCATTCAATAATACATTCACTCACATAGGAATTCAGTATACAAAATACAGACACACACACACACATACATACATACATACAGATACGTCCTCCTACATGAACTTCAGACACTTTCACGATCCTGTGCATAATGTCTGTGGCAAATACATGGCAGTAAGCCTGTGCTTCTGGGGGAGTTTAAGGCAGACTCCCTCAGTGAAGAAGCTTTGGCTGTTGGGAGAAAAGAAGAGCAGATGGTCAGGAAAAGGATCTAAATTCAGAGCCGAGACTCAACCACTGTGCTGAATTAAACCTTGATGATTCATCTTAACAGACTATCAATCTGTGACTTCCTATACTTCTTGCTCTCTCTATCACAGTGTATTTTTATCCTTGCAGTGTTGAAAAAGTAAGCTTAGGCAGTTTTCTTCAACAACTTTAAAGACTTTTATTTTGCTAACAGAGAGAATTATGTGTCTTCCAAGTGATGCTTGAGCTTCCTGACCCCTATACATTGGTACTATTATTTACCCCAACACTTAAAAACACATGCTGCAACCACTTAAAAGGTACACTCTGTATTTTTCATCATTGAAGTGTTTGACTAAAGAAATCAATAGCTGTTTTAAAATCATGTGCACTCGCATTACATTACATTTAGCAGGCTATAAGATTCATCTGATTAGATTCATCATATTAGCAGCCTGCTAAAATGTATCTTTTTCTTTGTTTCTTCGCCGTTTCTAGCATTTCTCAGTTTTTCAGTAAATATGTTAAATAAATATAGACAATTCATAAATATTTGACATTAAATGCTGTTTAAAGTGCCCGTAAGAAAGATAATCTTTTATGTTCAATAGAAAAAAGAAACTAATACAGAATTGGAACAAATCGAGGGTGAGTATTTTTGGGTGAACCATCCAATTAAACTAACAATTAGCAGGTTCAAGTCCATTTATGTAATTGGTATTATTATTATCTGAATTAATTAAAATGACAAACAGAAACAATGGTTGTTATGTGTTACATGTTATTGTTAACTAAACCTAAAAAAAAAACTATTAAAAAATTTGGGAAATTAAAAAAATTTGATGTAAAATAATATGTATTAGATGAAAAAAATGAATAAAAGTTTTTTTTAGTTTGCCTTGGTAACAAAATAAATGAAAGCACTAATATTCCTAAAATTGAAATAAAAATAAATTAAAGCTTTATAGGAATATTAAAAAAACGAATAAGTACTGTGGCGAGGGGAGCGTGGTTATGCGGAGTTTGCAGCGGGGCAACGAGTGTGGAGAAATGGCCTACAAATCAAGCTTTTTAAAAACCTAAAGGAAACTACTTTTCTATTCATATTTGGTGTCATCATGACGTTTTTTTCTTTCTTTTTTTTTGGATTAGATTCTTACGAGCTATTAAAACTAGGAAAGGCTGTATCTCCATATTTCTCCCAAAATTACATGATGAAATGAAGACATACAGAGAAAGTAGATAATTGATAATGTCGGTGTAAGTCCATGACAACATATCAGGCAATGCAACGAAAATAAAAAATTACCGAATGCAACTTCAGTTAAACATTTTAGGCTTTTAAACTACTGATAAATGTGATAAACATACCGTTTGTGCAGCCAGTTTCTTTGGCAGACTGTTGGAGGTTGATCCTGGTCTGCCATCCCCACCCCAGGACACCAGGCTGGAGTGAGTCTGGGAGTGAGAGGAGAGGATATTAGGTTTAGGGGCATATGAAGTGTTTTTGGGGGGAGAGACACCGCTGGTCTTACGTTTCCTGCCAGGCCCTTTATGCTCATTCCCAACAGCCCTTTGATTGAGTCCTGAGGCCCCTCCTTTATCAGACTCTGGGGAGGGAGAAGGTGAGATGTGGGCAGGACTTTGCTTAAGCAGCCCTTTCATTTCAGGAGGCCGTGTTTTGCTGCCAGGTGAGAGAGCACCATTGAATAGGCCATGGGGTGAAGAAATCGCATTTTTGGTCAAGGAGGACTGGCGGTCTCTGTGGTGGGGGAGAAACATGATTTTTGACTCTCCAGGCAAGTCTTTGTCCTTTTTGGGAGATTTTTGCCATTTATTGGCTGCAGGACTCTCCTGAAGCTCCCTGAAACTCGCCTGCAAAGCCTGTTTGCTGGTCCGACCTGCAGGGTTACGTTGCCGGCCGGGGCCTGAGGGCATCTGGGCTTTCGTTGGAAGTCTGGAGGCGGCTGTTAGGTTAGTGGGCTGTGATTGTCCTGAGGTGCTTGTCCTGAGAGTAGAGGCGCTGCGGACGGGTACCGAGCCGCATGTGGCATCATGGGAATTATAAGTGTTTGTGGTGACTAGAGGTTGATGAGAGCATAGATCTGACACCTGAGGGAGTTTCCTGCAGATAAAAGATTTTACTTACAACAAATAAAAAAAACATTCCTGAACACATATTTAAAAGCAACCAATTTTAAAATTAAAATTTGAAGAAAATAAATTGATGAAAAAAATAATTAATACATTTGTTTAAAAAAAAAAAAAAATAGTGGCAAATTAATAAAATACTCAAATATTAAGAAATGTATTTTTCAACCAGTTTTTTTTTCCCAATCAATTTATGTTTAAGTAATAAAAACATAAATGAAATAAAAAAGATGAAATAAAATATTTCAGTTAGTCAAGTTTTAAATCTAATATTTGTAAGTTGAAGTACTAAAATAAAACACAGTTTAAATATTTAAACAATGAAAGTTATATGGAAATACTAAGTACGTATTAAGCACATACAATTTAAATTATAAAAATAAAAGCTAATTCAAAATATTCTATAGTGAATATTTATTTACAAAATTATGGTAACACTTTACTAAAAGTTTCTATTAGTTGACATTAATTAAAATGAACTAACAATAAAAAATTAATTCTAAAGCATTTTAGTTAATGTTAATTCCAAAATTCCCTAATAAATTTAGGAATCTGTTAATTAATGATCCTGAGCTAACATTAACTAACATTGAACAGTTGTATTTTTATTAACGTTAAAAGATTAACAAATGCTGTAACAACTGTATTGCTCGTTGTTAGTTAATGCATTAACTAATGTTAACTAATGGGACCTTATTTTAAAGTGTTACCAAAATGACATTGAATCAAATAAGGAAAATACAAAAAAAGAAGGATTTCTCGGCTCAGCGTTGAAAACACACAAAATAAGCATTATGAATGTCACAGGGGGTCAGCCTGAAGTTGTAAAGCATCTTACTTCCACAGATAAGTGCTGAGGTGTTGCTCCATCATGACACTGAAAGCTGACCGCAGGTGGAGCAGCCTTCGGTCAAAGGCTAAGACACTACGGCCAAGTACACGTGCCCCGAAGGTGCAAAGCTGGGTAAAACGCGAGAGAGGGGACAAACATGGGTTCATTTTTCTCCAAATGTGATATTATGAAATGAAATGTAACTTTGTTAACAACACCCTCTTACATTAAGATTTTGCAGGATTTGTAGCAGTTTAAAAAACTGCTTAAATGTAAATATGAAGGGAAAGACTTACACCCATGGGCTTGGGGTGCAAGGTACTAGCTGGCAGATGAGTAAATTCCTCACGGTTCTCCCCATCACTCTCCTCACTGGAGAGACCGGCTGAGAGAGATTCCACCTGCATTTCTTCAGAGCGCATCACATCCTTCATCTCTACAACACCCTCTGATGGATTCATGGACCTGTAAACACACGTTTGTATAAGCTTGAAAGCTTCAGTCTCCACTCATTTTACCAGGTACATTTGAATATTTGTAACCGCAGGAAGCAGCAGAAGTTCAGACCTGAGAATAGAAGAGTTAGTCATTTGGCTTTTGTAGTGCAGAGGATTCTCATGGTTGACAGAGCCTCCATCGGGGACCTCTCTGGACAGAGGGGGGCGCTCTCGAGGCTTCGAGCTCATCTTCAGCTCCATTACAAGTTGGTCAAAGGGTTTACGCCTCCCTACAACCTGCCGACGTTGATGGATGGAGTGAATCTGCGGTAGAGGAGATGAAATAGAAATGACAGCGAGAGCTGAAAGCAAAAGCACTCAAATACGTATGTTAGTGTGTGTGTTTTTTTTTTCCTGTATATTGACTATAAACTCACATTACAAGTCAGCAGTCTGGTGCACAGTTTCTTTCTCTCAGGATCCATCACCCCACAGTGCTTGTCAAAGTCACATTCTTTCTCTGAAATAAACAAATCGGTTTCAACAAGAGAAATCACCATTTAAAGCAAAGCAACCACTGTAAGCAAGTAGATTTGAAATGTTTAAGGGACAAGTAAAATACAGTCAGGGTATGTTTTTAACACTGAATGAATAATAATTTATACGTCAGTATACCATATACTACCTTTGAAAAGTCTGGAGTCAGTATTTTAATTTTTTTTTTTTTTTAAAGAAATTGATACTTATATTCAGCAAGGACACAATTACATTACAAAAGATTTATATTTCAAACAAATGCTGTTTTTTTACTTTCTATTTATCAATTTTTCCACAAACATTAAACAGCACACCTGTTTTCAACATTGATAAAAATAAGAAACATTTCTTGAGCATTAAATCAGCATATTAGAATGATTTCTGAAGGGCCATGTGACACTAAAGACTGGAGTAATGATGCTGAAAATTCAGCTTTTTTATCAAGAAGAATAAATCATCTTTTTTAAAAATAAATATTTACTGTTTTTGATCAAATGAAATCAGCCCTGGTGAGCATAAAAAATATTAAAAAAACAGGAAAAATAACATTTGATTGGTAGTGCATATTTTTACTAAAATATTTTAATTAAAACTTAATGTTTCATGATCATTCCATGGGAATTTTTGAGTGGTGAAAAATGATAATTTACATGGAATATATTTAAGCAGATTCTGAATCTATTTAAATGGGTCATTTGAACAGATTCACCATAATTAAAACTCAATTTCGCTACTGAAGTTTAAAATCGGAAAAAAAAATATATATATTATGGGTTGCATCAAAGACGTACTAAGGACTTTCTTGTAGGTTCTGCTGTATGTTTTTGTTCCGTGCAGGTAAGCGTGTGAATCCAAACTCTTCTGGATTGGTTTCTCGGCTGATGGAGGTGCTTTTTTTGGTGGGGTGGGCAAATGTGGAGGTGATGGAGGGGTTCCATGGGAAATTTTATCCACATGCTGAAGACTGGAATATAAACGAGATGACACTGAAATAAACAGTGGACGTGTAATATCAAGTTAAACTGAACTTCACTCCTTCTCACCTGGGTCCCTCACGCTGTGGTTTGAAACGTCTCTGTAGAGGAGAATGAGGCGGTGGGATTCGTGGGGGTCCAGCCCCCTGATGCCTGCTGTCTTGACCCTCACAGGGGCTGCAGTGTTGAGAGGGGGGTGTCCCATGTTGGGGTCGGTCAGGTGAGCACTTTGATGGTGTACCGTAGACCTTGCTGAAAGGGCCATGCCGTCGCTCACAATGCTTCTCAAAAGCCTGTGGCTTCACGACCTGCCCACAGTGGCTGCACACAACCAGGAAGAAGTCATCATGTGCTGGGCAGTGGCCATATATCGACATGTCTGTAGGGGGAAGATGATTTTTCTTTTTACGCATGGCAAGCTTTTACTTTGAATGTCAAGATCTTGTCATTCGTCATCAATGCAATCTGTTAATCACAAGCCTAACAAACTCTTCCTCACCTTCTTTCTTGAGAGTCATAGTTTCCATCCGTTTCTTCACATTTTTGCTGCACTCTTCCAGAGAGGACCCTAAGAGAGGCAGTGAAACAAACAGACCATCAAAATAGGAAATGAAACCTCAACGTACATTTGAATTAAGCATCTGCTCTCTGATCAGCAGTTCTCAACTCCAGATGGATGGATGGATGAATTTGTACTGGTTTGAACCAGCCAATAACACACACTTGAAAAAAAATGTGTTTGTGTCATTTTCCAGCATTAAAATGTATTTGCCTTCACAGAGAGATCATTGGTACTGTACTATCATACTTCATATTCAGTCATATTATTTATCTGACTGCACTGACACAATCAGATGGCGATTTGAACCCCAGCGTTGGTTAACTGGTCTACATCTTTTCCAAGCCATTTTTGTAGTCATATTAATTCATTTTAATTATTTTAATAGAACATTATTCATAACTTATTTTAAGTCACATCCAGCTCCAGCTGTAACATGTTCAGATGGGCATTCGACTTCCAGGGTGGGCTGTGCAATTGTGAAAGTGGTTGAGGTCAAGCTCAGAAGGATGGGGTCATTCCTGTGCTCCCCAGTTGAGAACCACTGGCTTAGACACGTCTATCAAATATCAAAGCAACAGTGCTGAATGTTCTCATTTCTAATGGCCACAGTTCACGGCATTCATTAATGTGGGTCATTTCCTGCATTATATAAACCATATACATGAGAAATGCCATTCTTATTTTTAATCTGCTGATCAGTGCGACAGATGATGAAAGACCATCAAAGTGTTCTATAAATAGATGTAATGTAAATGTATAGAAAAGTGAGAGCAAGGGCAGTTTGATGTGAAGATGCAACTGACTCCGTTCCTGGCAATTGCAAAAGGAAATATCATCCCACCGTTTCATCATCATGATACAAACACTGCATGTGAATAAAAAGATGTTCTCACGGCGACGAGAACAACTATAAATCTCGAAGTGTGTAAAATGGATTAAGAGGTTTATTTATCTAGATAGTTTAGTGGCAAGATATTCGTCTCCACCTTCACTTCCCGTCGCGTTGGCTGTCAGATTCACATTAGATGACACACTGAGCCGCATCCTCTGTCTTTAAACCTCAGACCAACACGACAACGTATAAAATCAAACGTATAACGTATAAAATGAACGTATAATATCATTTTCAAAAATGTACATTTTATGAAAGGGAATATTCATCGGCTAAACGGAGCGCTAGGACCTGGGAGATTTTCCGAAAGTACTGTGTCGGTCTGCAACCCGTGCGGCGCTAGGACCCGGCGGGGCCTTTGTTTGGGTCGTGGTGGCCGGGATTTGCTCTTTTCAAACAAATCCATTTCCTGTGCTCGCTCGAAGCGATTAAAACCGAACGTATTGCAAGCACGACGTTTATTTACTCACCGTCCAATGTAGATACGTTCGCTTTGTCGATCCAAGTGGTCCAGCTTTGCCCTACAAAGTCAAGGATGGAAATTCGCCGATCTAGGGCAGCCATTACCGTTTTAGCGCGTGCACGACCCGCCACCATCACGACGGGAGTGCATTGCGACGTCATCTTGCGCGTTCACGGTCACGGCGGATACCGTAGCGATGGGAAGTAGACTCATTTCTGCGAGTTTGGTTTCAAAGAACGTCAAACAATATCACACGCAGGCACATATTGCTTTTGGTGTTAACTTTATTGCTTAAGGCAATTGTTCTAAGTTACAAGGAAATGTTTCCATGTAGCCTACGCACTCATTTAACGTTAGATTTCAAACACAGGCATCTGAACATTCGACAACAAAGCCAAGTTCAAAATTCTTGTTTCATTTTTGCTGACATTAGAATTGAAGGTTTTTGCCTGTGGTGTTACCCTCAAGTAACGTTTTCCCATCAGTCAAACGCTTTACAACTAACTTAAAAAGAGAAAACTTGTTGAATCGAAATATTCTCTGGTCAGATCGATTCAGTTAGATTCATTAACAAGTCGTTCAGATCAGAATCAGATGACTGAAGCGGTTCAATGATTCATTAATAATAATAATTCATTACATTTATGTAACGCTTTTCTCAGCACTCAAAGCGCTTTACATAGATAGGGGAATCTCCTCAAGATCTGATATCCGTACACTTGAACTTTGGAAATATAGGTAATACCATTTCCCTCTATATTACATCATAATATCTAAATTCGTTAATAAAAACATCCCACAACATCATTTGCAAATGCCAGAAACAGAGTGAGTTGCATCTTCATATCAAACTTTTTATCAAGTCCACAATAACGGATGCTGTAGGCCTACTGTGAACATTAAAATAATAAAGATTTTACATTTCATATAATGAAGAAGATGCCTTGCCTTTTATACAGTTTTGCATAAGTAAACTAAAATAAGAAATTAATTTTCATATGGAAATGACCTATTATTTGAAATTATAAGTACTCAATAGTCAAAACACAGAATCATGCACAATAATAGCAAAACAAGATTTTTTATTTATTTATAAAAGCCTCTATCTTTGTTAAACACAAACAAAACAATTCTTCAATTCGTTTTTAGGAACAGTCTTCCCTGGTTTCATGTAAACATTTCTTAATATATGCTAAGTTATAAGGCACACAGTTAAATTAATAAAAGAACAATTTAAAAATTATGAGTACATTGAAAAATGAGATGAACTCAAACACAACAGCACCATGGTACTCATGTAGTACTCATGCATCGTCAATTGTTGTAAAAGGGAACATCAAAACAACTTCAGAATTCAAGTTATATATTCAATTCAAAATATGTCAATGAACAGGAGTCAAAAACATTCCATACATTTTGTTTATGTAACAAGTTTGATATAGAAATTTAACAGTAAAGAAATTAAATGTAACATTTTAAAGATGCAGTTTACTTCTTACAAACAGGCTTATGATAAGGGGCCCTTGTACCTTCTCTAAATATTATGCATTATTATGCAAATATTTGAATATATTGAAGATATACCTTTGGTGTGCGTTTGTGACACAGGTCACGTCAGGAAGATCCATAACATCACTCGACCGTGGTGGTATGTAGCACCACTTTAATACTGCACTTTAACACCTGCTTGATGAATGTGGATATGACCTGATGTTTAATTATGGCTGTCCTGCTCCCTCTTGCTGATTGGCTGATTTGTGTAATGGTGTCTCCTTGTAAAGGAACCAGCAGTTTCCTCCCCAAAGGATACAGTTGAGGAATCCAAAGATCTATAAAGATTCATAAATTCATATTAACCTTATTTGTATTTAATTAATTTGATTTACCTTTAAAAAAAAGTTAAAAAGAAACATTATATAATAAAGTAATAAAGTATATGTAATGTATATGTAATAAGTAATAAAAATATGCGGGAAAACAGGATAAATAAATCTGTTAGTCTATTCGGTCATCTCTGTATAATGTCATTGGTTTAGTATTTTTCAATACATTATAATTCTCTTACCACTGAGGAATTGAGGCGGCCCATTAGGGGGGTGTGCCCAGCAGTGCAGTTTAATGCTATTATACACATTTTAGTTGCTAAGGACACAAGTGTATTTGGACTGGTTGCCCCTTTCACATCAGTGAGGCCTTTTCCCCAGGCAGATGAACACACCAGCCAGAGAAACGTGAAGATCCCAGTTAACAGTAGATCCTAAGGAGAGTAATACATACATGTCAACATGTAAATGATATATATATATACACACATTATACATTATTATTTTATATACAGTACCAGTCAAAAGTGTGGAAAGATTACTATTTTTAATGTTTTTGAAAGAAGTCTTTAATGCTCATCAAGCCATTTACTTGATCAAACATACCGAAAAAAAACAATTTAACAATTTACAATTTAAAATAATGGTTTATATATATTAATTAGGGCTGTGCAAAGATTAATTGTGATTAATCACATCCAAAATAAAAGTTTGTGTTTATGTAATATATTTGTGTGTGCTGTGTATTATTTTGTATATATAAAATACACATACATGCATGTACATATTTAGGAAAATGTGTTATTCATATATAAAATATTTATATATAATATAAATTATGTATTTATATGTACAAAAGGATTATACACGGCACACACACACATATTATGTAAACAAACTTTTATTTTGGATGCGATTAATCGCAATTAATCTTTGCACAGCCCTAATATTAATTAATATATTACTTTGAAATATTATTTATTTCTGTGGTGCAAGGCTGAATTGTCATTACTCCAGTCTTCAGTGTTTATGATCCCACAGAAATCATTCTATGATTTGATACTCAGTTATCAATGTTGTAAACAGTTGTGCTGCTTAATCTTTTTTTTTTTGGAGCCTGTGATACTTCTTTCAGGATTCATTGATGAAAAAAAAAGTTACATTAAAGAACAGTATTTATTCAAAATAGAAATCTTTACTACCACTTTTTTTTTTCATTTAACACATCCTTGGTGAATGAAAAATGGATTTCTTTCAAAATAAGAAAGAAAAAAATAGTAAGCAGGACAATTGTTTCCAACATTGATAATAACTGTCTATCAAATCAGCATATCAGAATGATTTCTGTAGGATTATGTTCATAAAACCAATTTATTCAATCCATGCACTAATGACTAATGTTCTAGACCATTTCACAAGATGTAAACAACACTGGTCCAGAAGCACTTCCTGTTTCAGTTTTTTAACACTACATAAAAGCTGGGGTAAAATACAACCAACAGAACATTTAAAACTGAATCAAAAAGTTAAACAAACATCTTTAAGATGTTTTCTTTACATGTGAATAAAGAAAACAGTTACAAACTGAAACAGGAAGTGTTTCTGGACCAGTGTTGTTTACATCTTGTGAAATGGTCTATATTTAACGCTCAAATGCTTTTATTCTCAGGACACTTTGGGCAAAAAACTGTAACTGTTGTCAGAAAAAAACCTCCCGTCTGTTTCCCGTCAGTGAAACTTTTGTGAACAGCTCACAAAATGTAGTTCCTAAAGATTTTATGGGCAAGCAAACCCGTTAAAGTTCATTCTCCATGCTAGGGATCTTGAAATCCAGCATAATACTGAATATGCTAATAAAATGAAGGTCAGAACGTTTATAAATAAACTTTTCAGGCATGCAGTGGCTGGATTTCATTTCTCGTACAAAAGCATGAACATCTGAGACAGCCATTGAATATGAAAGTGAATTTAAAGGCATGCACAGACAGAGAGGAGGTTTAAGAATGCACAGATAACTCTTAAAATAGCTACAACATGAACTTGAACCAATACACACTCACAATGCTGGGGCCGCGAGGAGATTCGCGGTAGAGGTGTTGGTAACCAAGATACAATACAAGAGTAGCTGTGCTGTACAGGAAAGCCAGAACTCCAACAGCTACAAAGAACTCAGCTGAAGATGAACAATCTCCAGTCAGATACATGGTTTTAACCTTCGTTCCACTCTGTTCGCAGGTTGGGACTTGGTAACTGTAGGTATTGAGCCTTTGTATCAAAGAATAATAAAGAAGGAAATTATGAAAATGCAGAAATTCAAAAATAACAATACATTTTTTTCTGTGTATTTTAATTGTTTACCTAAAAGGGTAGCTGAAGGATGCATTTATTTCTTGGCTGGTAACGTTTTCATTGCACAGGATGTTGAAACTGGCAGAGCCTGAATAACCACTAGTTGTAGCAAAAGCAAAAATGGCGAATATCTGAAAAAAAAAAAAAAACACTTTGTGAATGCGAATGCGAGGTTAAATTAATAAATGAATTCTATTGTTCAGATGGAAACCAAAGGAAGTGTGCAACTGTGCGTTTAATTTCATAGCCCTGAATTCAGCATGAAGAAATGTAAATATTTATCAACACAAAAAGCATTATATATTCAAACATCCTCATTTACTTTCTACTTCCTCTTTTTTTAGTAGAATCCTTTTCACACACACACACACACTTTTAATACCTCAAAGCTGTTGGTAATATCTGACCATTAACTTAACATAAGGAGCATGAGGCATGACGCTTATATTTATGAAATAATAAATAAATACGCAAACACTTTACAATAAGGTTCATTACTTAATGTATTAACTGACATGAACTAACAATGAGCAATACGTTTGTTACAGAATTTATTAATCTTTTTTATTGATAGTTAAAAAAAATACAACTTTACATTGTTAGTTCACAGTGCATTAACTAGACTAATGTTAATAAATACAACCTGATTTTAATAACTTATTTGTAAATTTGGAAATTAATATTAACTAAGATTAATAAATGCTGAAGAAGTATTGTTTATGTTAACTAAGGTAATCAAATAATGTTAACCTTATTGTAAAATGTTACCATTACCAAAAATGTCAATAAAAAAAAAAGAATGAGTGACCCTCTGGATTACATGATAAAATCGTACCAAAATAAATTTACACAGTACAGTAATTGTTTAGGCTATAGAAACTTTATCTTGAGGCATTCAACTTCAAAGATAAGCTACGTTAACCTAAAAAATATATGCCAGATGTTTCTTAAAGGTAATCGTTTGAGTGTTTTGAAAATGGCGTTCTGTGACTCCACGTGTGGAAATAACGTTGTGATTATTATCATTATTTTTCACAATAACGTTTGATGTAATTACACAGAATAGCTCAATATATATAAATATATATTGAAAAGTAGGCCTACGTACCCATTCTAATACACGCATGAATCCCAGTGGTTCTTTCAAAGGGCTGAGATCTAGTTGAAACGCGCTCATCATCTTCTGCAAATAAAGCATCAACAGCGGCCAATCAAACAACCGTTACAACTGACAGAAAATGGTGCAATAATCAAACATCCGGAAATATTATGAAACGCGGCTCACTTTGGAGCAGCAGAAGACTCTTTTCTTGTCAAAATCTTGTGAGTGAGTTAAAAGATTCAGAAAGATTCCCTAGTGTAGTCCCCAGACGAATTTCAAAAAGTTGTCAAAGTTACTTTCCCTTTCCTTGTTTCTGCAACAAGACATTGACCACGTGACGTGATTGGTGACGTGATTCTTTCCCCCATGGTCGTGGTCGAGCCAACTCTCCCCTTGTGCTCCTTTTGTCATCAGTTTGATGAAACGATTATTCATGTGTTTTGGGAATGTATGTAGCTATTGCAAAATCTTTTGGGTTGACTTTTCAAATTTTATTAAAAGGTATCTTTCTTTTGACTTCTGTATAGGCTAAGCCAAAAAATTATGTTTTTTGGTGACTCTATGAAATGAGACCCCTCTCATTTTAAATTTATCCTTAATTTGCTACTTTTTCTTGCCAAATTTTATATTCACAAGTGTAAATTTTCAAAGAAAACTCATTATTTTTTATTTTTAAGAAAGATATTGATATGTAGGCCTATTCATTAAAAAACTCTAAAAACTTTACTGCATGTAGCCTAAGACTCTGCAATATTGTCGATCATTTAAGCTTGTTTAATGTTATTTATGGATTGTAACCCTCTGTATTGTTGTATTGTGTATTACTGTCTTGATTTGTATTTGTTATTACTGCATAAATAAAAATATAATAAATAAAATAAGGGCCAACATAGTCGAGCTAGCGGGGAAAATTGTTGTAGTAGGCCTATTGCATATCCTGATTAGTTATCTTATCCTTAATGATTTATTCTGTATTAATATATTCAATATTTATCCTTAATTACCTAACAATATCGTCATTTTTTATTTAACATTTTTAGTGACATTTCTGTGCATAATGCTCATAAAATGCCATATTCTGTCTTTTGTAATGTTGTCATCATGAAACATTTTGTAAATGGAAAAAGTTTGAGCTGAAATACCAGCTAAATTTGATTCTAAACAGTCAGTAGAAGATTCAAATTGCATATATTTTCCAGTGTTTTTTTTTGCAACAGGAGCTGCAATTGTATCAAGTTTTAACCCGTTTTATAGTTGAATTAGGTAGTTAACCATGTTATTAACACCAGGGTTAAGCATGCACTACATAAACATTTCTTTATGCCACTTTAATTGGCATTTTAACAACTTTGTGAATTATTATGAAATGAGCATGATGTAAGAAATAATTCGAATTGTAAAAAAAAAAAAAAAAAGGTTAGATTAACCTTTTTTCACAAGCAACATACACATCTCTGCAAATGAACAGGACCTACCATTTTCGTACAGTGGCACTGGAAGTGACAGAAATGCAAATGTAGCAACTTACCCCATTTGCAAGGTTAATTGTAACAGACAGAGGGGTTAGTTGTAACAGTAATACACATAATTCAGTACCAATTAGTTTGATATTGTTTGTACATCTAGATATATATCCATCCCTCATCCAAACATCCTTCTATGGATCAATATCATGGATACAGATATAAATATAAAAGGGCCGCACAGTTTTGCAATAAATACATAAATAAATAAATAAAATAATCAAATATTGAAATTGGTATTGAATTATATTTGTGTGTAGCAGCTGCATGCAAAATTATTATGCATACCGATTAACAAAATGTGAAAAAAAATCATATGTTGACATTTAAATTCCAACATTGTTTTTGAAAGTCACACAAAGTTAAATGTGGCTAAATTAACACAAAAAATAAATAGCCTACTTAAACATTCTTTCATTTAATTATCGCTGACACAGTGTCCTACAACTAACCCGGCTGTGTAAAAAATATTCAATTGCTAGGAGTTGCTGAATATGATATGTTTCAAAATGGAACTATGTTTTAGCAAACAAGACAGTGATTAAGGCAATATAGTTTTGTTGACGTACACACACACCCAACTCAGAAACTGAAAAAAACGTAGGCTATGATGAAAAAATGTACTTGCATGGTGACAAAACACTCATTGTCCTCACAAAATCTTCACGAAACATTAACAACTATTATTAGGCTGAAATCCACAAATCCGCCACTGTACTAATAGTCATGGGCTGTATTGTCTTATAAATATAATAAAATTAATATAAAACACAAATATAGAATATAAAAAATATGAAATACTATAGAAGTCTCAAAAGTGAACTGCATTCAGCGTTGCTGTAGTACGACCATAAGAGGACGCTCTTGTCACAATGTAGGCTATTTCGATTTCGCACCCGAAGCAGCTCAGTGCAGTGTTCCTCATTCACTGTCTTTTACTATGTAAGATATGCATTTTTCTTAAATATTATAAAATGCTACTTAATTAAAATTTCCTTGGCATTTATTTACTGAGTAAAACATGTTAAGTGAACACCATTTACACTGAAAGTTGCAAAAATAAAGAGTCTCAGGAGGATGCCTATGCACAGCTCATTGGGACTTTCTTTCAGATGCACTTTGGGTATAGCTAATAAAAGCCTTATTTTATTTAGCTACACCTTAAGTTCGAAAAGTTACAGCTCTCAATGAAAAGGAGGTGCTCAGACAGTCACCACTGAGGAATTCAGGTCACGACGTCTTGTGGGACAGGTTTTTCCACCCAGCCATGCAGAATTGTTTTAATGCACTAGCCTACACAGTTAAACGCATTTGTGCTGACATCTAGAATTATAATGTCCCTTGAAGAAGCAGTACTTTGCTTTTTTGTTTTTGTGTTTGCGAATGTTATCCGCTAGAAGAGACAGGATGAGTATCAATGGGAAGCACATGGCTCTTGTCCAGCAGTGAAGATCTAGAATGACAGCAGGTCAGAATTACAGGGCACTAATGGGAGGGAGTCACCCAATGGGAGTCACAATAAGCCTTTTTTCTGTGTCACATTTGATCATGCAGGCCAGAGCCTGTCATAAGTCATGTAGGCTACACCCAAACAACATATAATAATAATAATTTGAAGAACAGAATTGAAATTAGATGCTCTTTTACATAAATAGCAACAATAAGACTTTTAAATGTAAGTTATTTTTAACTCAATAAATGCTGAAATCTAAACTGGTAAACTGTTTAAAATGTCGAACAGGGTTAAGAAAAATGGCTGAGCAAATAACTGTCCCGACCATTCACTTTCATGTTTCCAAAGTCACTGAAAACAAATCTGGTTGGTGTTTTATAATGATAAAATGGTTAGAATCTGGGGGAAGATTCAATAAATGTATTCATTATGATGACTCAGAGAGAGAGAGAGAGAGAGAGAGAGAGAGAGAGAGAGAGAGAGAGAGAGAGAGAGAGAGAGAGAGAGAGAGAGAGAGAGAGAGAGAGAGAGACTACAGTTATGCTGTAGGCTGAGGTGTGAAGAGCATCAACAGATGCTTCTTTCTTCCATGATGCACATTTGAAGGCTACATTATTTTCCATTATGGTCTCACTGAGAATAGTGACAAAATGAGTCATGCGCTACTATTTAGGCACATGAAATGATTTTGCTGTTATAAAAAGAAGAATACGAAGGTGTGCAAATAAAGTATGCAGCTTGTTAGTCTTTTAAAGGAAATGCTTCGTGCAAGGCTTTGGTCACATTATCTGAGAATTACATTCTTACTGGGGCAATTAACCCCCCCCCCCCTCCCTCCCCCGGCCTCCCGAATAAACTGATAAAGCATAGATTTTACAACATGCCTTTACAGTTTAATATTTGCATAGAACTAAAGGACAGTTCTATGGCGTTACTGACATTATGATTATAAAGCCGTTCGAATAACAATACACCAAAGATAATGTTGTGCACATTTAAAACGCAGGAGTCATTTTTAAACATCAGACTGTCCTCGTAACGCCCGTTTCACACATACTCCGTTTGCAGTGCGTATGCGGTCCGTATTTTTTTCCGTACCCATGTTAACAGGTTAGAGCTTTCACACTGCACGCGGATGCAGTCCGTCGATCCGTTCCAGTTGCGGTGCGTATACAGCAGTGCAGAGATCGTTTCCGTACCGAGTCTATTTCTGCTGTGCTGCAAACGCAGAAATAAAGTGACAGCACACGGTTCGTGGTCAAAATGAACTGAGATTGACCTCGAAATGTAGTAGTTTCACCATAAATGCATTTAATTCAATAAAATGTAGTAATCTCTCCATAAAGGTATTTAATTGTTTCATATTTTTACTTTAAGACATCTTAATATACAAGGCCTACTGCATGGAATTGTATGCATTCGTTGTTTAAATCGTGTTTAAACGAGCATGCGTCCATTCAAGTTTGTAAAAGAGAATCGCAAAGCCATGGCAAAACTTTTATTTAAAAAAAAAGTTACTGCATATGGTGAACATATTTTGATTACCAAAAACCAGGACACATGGCCCAGAAAACAAATGATACTCGAAGTTTACTCAAAGATGCCTTATTAATTTCAATACAATTAAAATAGGCTATGCCCCCTCTGTGGATAGAAAATTGTTGTAGGCTATTAAGACACAAAATCAGATAGCCTTCTCAGAGGATACTCAACATGACATGTTTTATTATGAAAAATAATGAATGAAATAATGATTAAAAAATAATGTCTCTTCTGTATTAGAAAAATAAATATATCAATATTAATTAGGCTAACAAAAAGAAATACCTTCAAATTGAACAAAAATACCTCTCACAAACGTACAAAAACGAACTAGTTTCCTTCCTCTTTATGCTGTTTTTCCTCCTCATCCTCCTTGTCTGCTCATCTCCTATATTTTGCTATAAAGCTGATCTTTTCCAGCGTTTTTTTTTTTTTTTTTTTTTTTTTTTTGAAAACCAGGACATCACTTTATAAAAAACGGCCAGGAAGGACGTGAAAACAGGAATGGGATAACAGGACTGTTGGTCACTGGTCACGCTATTGCTGCATAACTTCTGATTTTTAAATAAAAATGGCGAGTGTTTGTGGTACAGCTCACGCAATGCAAACGCAGCATATGTGAAAGCACTTTAGCGCGTGCGGCTCCTGTACCGGATACGCACCGCAACACTCACCGCATACGCACTGCAAACGGAGTATGTGTGAAACGGGCGTTGTGTGACGTGTCAAACTAACTTGATCGCACAGGCTCACGGAAACTAGAATGCGCAGTTATGGACCAATCAGAGAAACGCAGCAGTCGCTGCAGCCAATCAGACACAGTCCCTGCAAGGTGCATTCTTTTCACCGTTATATTTTATTTTTTGGTGGACGCTCGTTTTTGAAGTGTTTATCACGAAATACTGTAAAGAATACAGTTTATTCCAGCGTCAGCGATTTTTTTTTTTTTGCGTTCTTGTAAATTATCTAGATAAAAAGGGGTGTTGAAATGCTCTCTGAGGAGGCAGCACTAATATGAGCAGCAGGGACCTTTCGCTGTCACAGGGAGTCTGTTTTTGTTGATACCGCCAGCAGCCGCTCACGAGGGAGACACTGAGAAATTAATGCGTATTTAAACAGCAACACAACCGTGTTGGAAATACACTGAAGAAAAATGCGAGGCCTTGGACACTTTATTGCACTTTTATTTTTTCCCATGGCATTTTGTGTGGATTTCCATGTGGAACCAGGATCCTATAACGCGCACCGGGTGTATGTGAAGTCTCCAGTAGCCGCCAGAAGTCTGATCGGGACGGGATCGGATGCAGATATTTCGCGGATTCACAGTCACATCCAGAAAAGAAGCGTTGATGAACCTGACTCCTGTAATGGTTTAAAGGAATATGACACCAAGTTAACTAGCAACACACACAGCGTAAGTTCACTCGAAGCACCGATGCAACCCCGCGGCTCTGCCTCATAACCTAAGGATCTTTACATAACCCTAGTAACGTTACTATTAATTAACTTCATGTACTTAGAATAGGGGTAGCCTTTGGTTTAAGGTTTATTTACTTCTAATTATGTCATTATAGTAAGTACATGTAGTAATGTGTAACTACGTCACCTTAAAATAAAGTGTTACCTTCTATTTGTTAGTATGATGTATATTAAATGCATTTTTAATATGGAATAGATACTGTTCACAATTGTATTACTTTCTAAAAATAAGTAACTTACCACTAACTCAAAATTGATACTAATACGTGTTTTAACGTTTTACTAGATTTGTTCAGCTCAAACGCATTCAAAGTTCTTGTAGAAGCACTTGAGTTTTGTGCTAAACATACACAGTAAATACTGTAAAATGGGATTAAAAATGTCAGTTTTCTTTTTATATTAGAACCTTTTCAAAATATTACAATTTCTATATCTCCATAGTCCTTGGAATAGCCTAAGTTTTCTCTTCCCTTTCTGTTTTATAACAAATAAATGTTGACTGTTGTGTTTGAACAATGTCCTTGACAAGTGTAACTTTGGCTACCAGCAGTTGTAGAACCAGTTAAACTGGTATGACAACCTGTTTAATATCCACCCCCCACACACAAATAGCTACGCCTTTCTAAAGCATGTTAAGTTTAGCTAAACCATATCATTTATTATACAAACTAGTACAAGTCTTAATATTACAAAATGCAACAGGAAAAATAAAACTGACACTAGTCATTGCAACTTAAAATGACTTCCTTTTCTCTGAATAAGTTGTGGTTGCAGTGGCGGCTGGTGAAAAATATTTGGAGGGGGGCTGAATAACAGGGGGGTCTGGGGGTCCACAGTGGTTGCTTCAGAGAGTTGGTTGAAACTGCAGCTTTTTTTCTTCTTCACACAGTCCTACTGTGGTCTGTCTTTCTGTGGAAAGTTAGCATAAATTCAAAAGTTCTTAATCAACAGTCCCAAAGTGTTTTATGTGTGTACTGACCTTTCGGTCTTAAAATGATCTGTTAGAGCTAAACAAATCATCTAAACCAGTAGTTCTCAACCAGGGGAGCACAGCTAACTAACCTCAGCAATAACTATATTTTTATTGAAAAACGTACAGAATCAAAACAAATTGTATTTAATGAATTTAATATATCAACCCAATTTCTGTAAATAAAAAAGTTGTCATAATTATATTTACAGCAGAAATGCCAGAGGAATTGTACAATATGCTAGGCCTTCAAATAATGTATCTTTAAATGAGTCAAAAAGATTGAGAGCCATCTCATCTTCAAATTCATGATTTGATATCATCTTCAAATTCACAATTCATTCCTATTTCTTTCATTTCAGTAATTTGTCATGTCAGTCTTCATTGTTCTATTTTCAGTTTCACGGTTAAGTGACATGAGTATACAGTAGTTGCTAGGTTTCTGATTTAGTTTTTGTTTAAGGTTAGCATGTGCTTTGCATATGCTGATAATGTCTTTCTAGGACATGCAATATTAAAAGCTTCATTGTGTTATTGTACGAAAAGTCTTATATTTTGTCCATGACGACGCACATTTCTGTATTGTTTTTTTTTTTTTTTAATATTAATATATTTGTTTCTTTCAGTGGACTTTTAAAGATATCAGTGGATCCGTGTCTCTGGCCTGGGTGGGGGACGGAACTGGGGTGAGTTTCACTTTTGATTTATTTCTGTGTACACAGTCACACACTATCATACACTTGCTGTTCTGAGAGGAAGTCTAAAAATGCCATTCAATTAGATAAGGGCTCTTTTAGCTTAGGTTTAAATTTAGACTGTCTTGGTAATCTTTGCAGATCTCTTTGGCTGTTTGCAGTGCTCACAAAGAAAATAAATACAACCATCTAGTTTGATCTTTTCATTGCCCCGGTACACATTCAAGGACATTTCGTGAAGTCTTGTTTTTTACTCTGACGACGGCTGCTGTGCACTTTACTGCAATAAAAAAAAATACTTTGACCTACACTACCATTTCAAATTTTGGAGTGACTCTGTAAGAAGTCTCTTATGCTCACCAAGGCAGCATTTACAGTATTTGATCAAAAATACAGTAAAACAGTAATATTGTTAAATATTATTACAACTATTTGAATACATTTTCAAATGCAATTTATTTCTGTGATGGCAAAGCTGAATTACTGCAGTCTCCAGTGTCACATGAGATCATTCTAAAATGCTGATTCACTACTTAGGAAACATAAATATCAATGTTGAAAATAGTTCTGCTGCTTAGTATTTTTGTGGAAATCTTGAAATGTGTGGAAATCTATTTGAAATAGAAATCTTTTGAAACATTATAAAAGTCCTTGCTGCCACTTTTGATCAATGTCTTGCGTCCTTACTGAATGAAAGTTTGTGTCAAACGTAAATAACTGTCTCTATGCCTCAATCTTAGGTAGTACTAGCCCTGACAACGTTTCAGGTGCCATTAGTCTTCATGCGATTTGGTCAGTCAAAACTGTATAGGAGGTGAGTACTGGTTTGAATTGTGTTTGTTCTTGTAATACCAATGTAGTGTTTGCTTTACTCCATGTCTTTCTCGATCTTCCACTCCTTGTTACAGTGAAAACTATGGAAAGTCATTTGAGGATGTCACAGAACTCATCAACAACACCTTCATCAGCACTGACTTTGGGATCGCTATTGGTCCGGAAAACTCTGGCAAGGTGGGCAAGACATGTCAAAAATCCAGCATTTGTGTGTCTTCTCCAAATAAACCCACATGGGCTGGGGAGCTGGATCAGTTTGCTATGTTAAAGATGTTTCTGAAAGATGTTGCTGAACAAATGCAGCATGTCAATCAAAGTAAAAAATAGACTAGTTGAACTTTCTGTTCTTTGCTGATTTTCCGATACTCAAAGCAATTATAGGGATGTGTGACAGCACTTTAAAGTAATCAAAGTCCTGATTTGCTTTCCCTCAGGTGATCCTCACAGGAGATGCTTCTGGAGGCACTGGTGCCAGAATTTTCCGTTCAAAAGACTTTGCCAAGAATTTCATCCACACAGAACTGCCCTTCCAACCTCTAATGCAGATAATGTACAACCCTCAAAACTCTGATGTGCTTGCAGTCATCAGCACCAAGGTGAGAGCCTATCAAAATTTGTGTTATTTCTTTATGGGCATCGAAAAGAAAGTAACTAACCATTTGATCAGTGAATTTATTAGGTGTAAATAAGTTGCGTCATGATCACATATTACATTTAAGTACTTAGTTTATGACTCAATGAAGTTCAAAACTGCCATCAACACATTTTGAGTTTCCTGAACTGATAAGAGAAAAGCAATTGTGCTTATCTGAATGACATGATAGCATATTAACTCTTTGCCTGCCATTAACAATATCCTCCGTAATTTAATGTTTTTTTTTAAAAATATATATATATTGACGGTTTACAAGTTCATACAACAAAATAATCTGGGGACCATGAAAATATTTTGAATATAATCAAAGAGTTAAATATACTTATTGCACATATTTGCTATTCACTTTCTTCTCAAGTATATTTGTAAAAACACACAGATTGTGAATACATAGATTGTGTAAATTCTTTTTTCCTTTTGTATGCATTTAAAGTGGTGCATTGCTGCTTTTGATCATTAGCATAATATCTTCCTATTGCTGCTGTTTCAGAATGATCTCTGGATCTCTAAAGATTTTGGTACAACATGGACGAAAATTCATGAGATGGTGTGTGTGGTGAAATGGTAAGATCTTTTAATGTTTGTAAAACCCACTTATGCCCTTAGAATGTGCTTTGTGTTTGTGAAGACACAATGGGGTCTGGGTGGAGTGACTTTATATGGTATGTTTTACTTTTGGACCAGTCAGTTTGGGGAGTTCTGTATTGTCTTTTCACGGCTGCACATCCGGAACACACAAAAACACAAACATGCAAATACGGCCACCATGGCAGCAACACTAGACATTGTCTGCTGAGTCACTGTGCTTTTCCACACGGCTCAGCTTTCAAATGTCCGAGGACACTCGACTGCTCCAGATAAACTGCTGCATCAAACTTCAGTTGGATTCTCGAGTTTTTTTCCCCCCCTTGAATTCAACAGTCCCTGGTTTATACATGTTTACAGGGAATAGTTATGTTGACAAGGATGTTCTGCCAGGCTTATCCTTTCTTTGCGCAATTAATGTTTGACCAAGGAGCCATATCAGTTTGGGTACTCTTTAAGTTTACATACACTTCCTTCATACCTCCTAGCAATCCTAACTGAAGGAAGGACTCACCCACTTACTGTACACATGATATGAAGTTCTCATGTGACTTCAGAAGCCAGTAAAATCAAACCAAACACATGGGTTATGCCTGTTACGGCATTTCTTTTAACTGAATATCATATTCAAATGACAACACACTATTCACAATATGCTTGTGTTGAATTTTAATGATGTATTTCAATATACCAGAGTTTGAGAAACATGCACCATTTAAGCTTAGCTAGTTTATCAACTTTATTTATTACACCTTGATTATTCAAACAACGGCAAGAATATTAACGAATGGAAATAAAGAGCTAAAAGTGAGTGATTGAAATGATTATTTTCATTTTAAAACAGCCTGGGATGATTAGAGCCTTAGAGTGATACCTCAAAATATCTCAGAAATCATCAATTTGTGATGTTTGTGGTGTTTTCACATCCTTTTTCTTTCTTTCTTTTTTCATTTTAGACTTTGCATAGCACATGGCATCAGCGTCTCAAACCATTATATTGTAATATTGTGATAAGTCGTAAATAATTTCCTTCCTTTAAAAAATGTTATGTTTAATATTTTATCCAATATATTATGAAAATGTGCTGCATGCCATGGCCACACTTGCATTTCAATTTTAGAGACTGTTTTCAGTTATGTTGCAACCTAAAAACTCCTCAACCTCTTAGGTCAACCCCTTAGGTCTTATCTTAACAATAAGTCATCTGATCTGTGACAATGGAAGATATTCTGTTACAACAATGCCATAAATTTTAATGGAGAATCTCTGTGCAACCAGTTTCTTCTTGCATTGTTCATGTTATATTTAAATTGAAAATATGGTTTGTGTGGTGATTGTCATAAACCGTCTCCCTCCTTGACATTTTAGTGTTCAGTACGTTTGTACGAATTATGCTGCAAAGTGCAAACGAGTGACTGATCTGAAGTGAACCGTTCGGAATGCTGTTGTTTTATGAGGTCTCTTAAGTTTAATCTCACCGATCAATTCTCTCTTCATCATTTCCACAGGGGAATGGATACTCTATTTTTCTCCGTCAGCCTTAATGGATCCTGCAGTGAGTAATATTTATCAACTTTGTTGATCTAAGGTGTGGTGACATGATTGTCTTCTGTTCTGTCACTAGTATGTGTTTGTATTGATTTCCATTGTATTGATGTGTATTTCTATTCTCTTTGAGCATTAGTTACTGTAATAGTTGACTGTAAAATCAACTAGTTAGTTACTGTACAGTTGAGTTATTGTAATTCAGAAATATATATTTTAATTTAGAAATTAGCTTTTTTTAAGATATTTATACAAAATATGTTACAAAATATTTATATTTCAAATTAATTCTATTCTCTCTGTAAACATTATATTCATCAAAGGATCCTAAAAAATGGCATCACAAAATATATAAAGCAGCAGCACAACTGTTTACAACATTGATAATAATAAGAAATGTTTCTTGAGCACCAAATCAGCATATTAGAATGATTTATGAAGGATCATGTTACATTGAACAGTGTGATAAAAATTAGTAATGAGGGACAAAATTTACAAAAAAATTACAATTGATAAAAAATGACATTTCGAAATAAAATAAAATAGAAAATAGTTAATTCAAATTGTAATAATATTTCACAATATTACAGTGTTCAAACAAATGCAGCCTTGGTGAGCATAAGAGACTTTCTAAAACATACAAAAAAAATTTAGTTTATGTATAATATATATATATATATATATATATATATATATATATATAATTTATTTACTTCAATAAGTATATTTTAATAAGTATATTTAATAATATGTAACTAAGAATTTTTAAATAACAATAAATTAATATATTATAATTTGCAATAATAATTAACATTTTGCTGCAACATAATGGCATAAAGTCACTCTTTGGAAGAAAAAATATGTTACCCAGCTAGATATTTATCCAAAATTGCAACAGCAGTTCACAAAAACTTTTCAAAACATAAAAACACAAGTACATAAAAAAAACATACAGCAATGATAACAGTCCTGTCACCTGGCCCAAAACTCCTGACTGTCCTTACTGTTGAATCCAACTGACTAAAAGTGTATGCTTTTGTTTTTAAGCTTCCTTTTCATGATATTTGCCAATGTGTGCGTGTGCTTTTATTGCAAGAGGGGATGTCAGAGGGGATGATGCAGTGCCCTGTGTGTGGTGTTGCTCATTAAAAGTGTTTAGATAAAGTGTTGATAGAATTTCTTTGAATTAAAATTCAACATCCCTCAGTGGATTTGACTCAGCAAAGCTTATGTTATTGCTATAGAAAAGCACGACACAGGCAGAGGCCCAAGTGCTATCAGCAACTCCTAAAAACTAGATGCATATTTCTCTAATAATGTTACCTCACTCTTTGTTGTTTTGTGTTTTCAGTTGATAAAGGAACGCTGGTGCTGAGGAAGTCAGTTGATCTTAGTGTTAACTTTAAAACAGTCGCCGAGAGAATTTACTCCTTTGGGATTGGTGGACGCTTCCTGTTTGCTTCAGTTATGGCTGGATCAGGAAACATCATGCCGTCAGCATCAGAGGTGTGTGTGACTGTGCACCCGAGTGTGAGTGTGTTTATTCGTGGATAAGATGTTTTAACTATGTGCATGTTCTTTAGGACATTTTACGTGCAATACATGTGTCGGTAGACCAAGGTGAGACATGGAACATGGCACAACTTCCTCCTGTCAGTCATGAGCAGTTTTACTCAATACTAGCAGCCAATGATGAAATGGTCTTCATGCATGTGGATGAACCAGGAGGTCAGTGTTTACTTTTGTTTCATTTACCGCAACCATATAGGCTTACAACTAACATTTCCTGTTGTAGAAACCATCACGTCACACTGCTGTATCGATATATTATTTATTGTAGGAACATTTTGATTGGTTAACCACTGGCATTTATTAAGATCAACAAAGAGTGGAACATTAATCAGTTGCAAAAAGAAATTGATCTGTGCTACTTTATTGAGCTCATTGTTTCTATTTTTTAACTGTAGTGTGTTTTTGTTTTTCTCAGACGAAGGGTTTGGCACCATCTACGTGTCAGATGACAGAGGCACTGTGTATTCCAAGTCTCTAGAACGCCATCTGTATACGACTCCAGGGGGTGAGACAGACTTCACGAATATCACTTCCCTAAGAGGAGTCTTCACTACCAGCGTGCTGAATGAGGGTATGACTTCATCTTACACAAGAGTAATATACACTTCTAGTCTGTGTGTATTTTAACCTCAGGTTACTCTAGGAGGCCTGTATCACTTGGAATACTTAAAATCCATATGAAAAGCAGTTTTTAAAAAAAAGCTTGTTGTTTACTTTCTAAATATATATTTAAAAAAAGAACATGATATTTAACATTCCTTACACTACTGTTTAAAATATTTGTTTAATATTTTTGACCAAGGCTCAAATACATTAAACCAGTAAATATGTTAAATATTATTACAATTTAAAATAACTGTTTACTATTTTGATTTATTTTAAAATATCATTTTATTCCTGGAATGAACAAGCTGTTATTTTAGTAATTCTGTCATTATTTACTCACCCTCATGTCATTGCAAACCAAGACTTTTGTTCATCTTTGGAGCACAAATGAAGATATTTTTGTTGAAATCCGAGAACTTGGAAGCAGTGCTTTGCCACTTTATTTACAAAAAAATATTGACCTGCAATTCCGTTGTTCTGTGAACTCGCTTTAGATAATTTTTATAAATGTAGAGATAAATTATGTTTTTTTGCTCAAACAAAGCACTTGCATTGCTTCATAAGATTGAGGTTAAACCGCTGGAGTCACATGGATTAATAATTGAATGTGTAAATTGTGTTGCTCCCAATACTGAAAGGATTTCTTCAAAAATGTCCTCATTTGTGTTCTGAAGATGAGCGAAGGTCTTACAGGTGTGGAACGTGGAACGACATGTGAACTAACCATTGAAGGCTTTAGTAATTTTGACGATTCTCTCTATTTGTCTTTTTCGTCTGAAGACAACTCGGTACAGACAGTAATAACATTTGATCAGGGAGGTGAATGGGTTCCTTTGAAAAAACCTGAGAACAGCAAGTGTGATTCTACGGCCAAAGATAAAGAAATGGTAAGAATCACTGAATGGAAGCTGTTATAATTGGACAGATGACAGACCAAACAGTTAAAATCCTTGAGAAGTCTAACAGTGTTTTTTTATTTACTTACCTTGTGTTGTCTTTCTCCTGGGCAGTGTAGTCTGCATATTCATGCCTCATACAGCACCTCCATGAAGCTGAACGTTCCCATGCTGCCTCTGAGTGAACCCAATGCTGTCGGACTCATCTTGGCTCATGGTAATGCATGTACACTTTTAAGAAAAGTCCTTTTAATGTCTCTATTTTAATTTACATTTATTTTATAATTTTTTTAAATGTTATTTTAACACATACAAGTCATTATTATTAATTGGATAAAATAGATAAAAGAAAATTAAAGGTGCAGTAAGCAATTTCTGAGAAACACTTTTGCTGTTTGAAATCATCCCAAACACACACACCCTCCCTTCATTGCTCCCCCAAAATTCCTGATCACGTAATGCAATAGTATTCTAGTGCTAGACAGTTTCTAATCTCCAATATTATCATGCTGTTGGCTGATCATAACTTTTCTTTTTCCAATGATATCCTTCTGACCTTCTCTCTTTTGTAATGCCTCTCAGCCATTTCTCTTTCTACAGTGTTTCTTCAAATCTCCCTCTTGCTTTCTTTTGACCGTATACTCCTTCCACTGCTGATTGGCTACAAGTGTGTTGAGGTGCTTGGTCCAATCCACTTTCAAAAGTTTTTTTCAGAAATCGGTTACTTCCCCCCTTTAAAGATAAAGTGAAATTTCTGCATAACCAAACAGAATTGCAATAAAATAATGACTTTCATGTAATTAACATTTCTGCCATCTAGTGTTAATTTTACCAGCCATTTTTAAATTTAGTTTCAGTTTTAGTCCAGTTTCAGCATCGCTTGTTAGTTTTTATCACATTTAGTCGACATCATCCCATTTTTATTTAGTCTAGTTTTAGTCGACTATAAGTCGAGCATTTTAGTCTTTATTTTAGTCCAAGAAAACGTAATTTTATTCGTTTAGTTTTAGTCAAAAAAACCTGTCAACATTTTAGTCTAGTTTTAGTCAGGACATCATTTTAACCTTTTACTTTTTTGTCAGCAGATAATATTTAACATTTCCTAAAATTATTTTACATTTCAACATTTTCTCTCATCTTTTTGATAAAATACACAATTTTAAGGAACACATGCAGACATGGAAGATGTTCTGACAATATTTGCATATTTATTTTGAACATTGTTAAGGTTCAAAGACACAAACACAAATGATTGCATTAAAACAAATAAAATACACCTGACAAAGGAAACAAATAAATAAAATAAAGTGTATTATGAACTTAACACAAGTGCTGGCTGTTTAAAGCTAGTTCACATAGAATAATAAAATAAATAGATTTGAGGTCAATGTTGTGAAAAAAAAAATCCAACTGATACAACAAAAGTGCTTTCCTGCCAGCTAGTTCACATGGTATATAAAGGTACAGTATTTAAGGTGAAACAAGGCATAGCTTGCTAGAACGTATGAAATCTTTTTAAAGCGTCTGTCTGCTTTAATCAAACTTGCAATTTAACTGAAACTATAGTTGCCCGGCCAGTATAACATATCTAAGTTAGCATAAATTTAACTTCACATACAATTCTATCAACAAGTGGCTACGGTCGCTACGTGCTAAGAAGCTAATGTAACATAGCCAGCCTGGATACTAAATGCTATGAAAGTTAGCCATCATTAGTTAGTTTATCATTGTAACAAAATGTGTCCATATATCACGTCTCTTCTTTCTCCCGAGCCCCGTGCAAAGCATGTTTTACTTTTAACCTGTCGCCGCCGCCTCACCGTGAATCCAGCTCCTGTCTGCTCCATGTGTTGTGTGTGTAGGCTACTCTGACTGTGCCCGCCCGCTCCAGGTTTGAAAGTGGGTGTGTGGCGGAAGAGCTGACGAGGAGGAGGCGGAGGAGGAGACAAAACGTCTCCGGTTACTTTCGTAACCTCGGTTCCCTGAAAGGCAGGGAACGAGACATTTACGTCGATGACGTAGTATGGGAACTCCTCCCCTTCTTCACTTCTGCTGAAATCTTATGGGCTAACGCCAGCTGACGACAGCTGGCCAATTGACGCAAAATATGCAAATATTGCCTAGCCTGGCAGTATAAATTGCATATTGTTCGTCGATTGCATCAGAATCCGACTGAACGCTCGAATGAACGAGCGACACGGCGTTCGACGTAAATGTCTCGTTCCCTGCCTTTCAGGGAACCGAGGTTACGAAAGTAACCGGAGACGTTCCCTTTCAAGGCGGTCACTTCGACATTTACGTCGATGACGTAGTATGGGAACTGTGTCAAATCCCGCCGTGGAGCAGAGGACCCGCCCACTCGAAAATGACAGAACCCACATCCAATAGCTGATTACTAGAAAAAACTAGACTCCTGATAGGTCGAAGCGAACCAATAGCGCGCTTTCAGAACCTTGTCAAAATTTGCATATCCCGAGCAAATGAAATAGGGGGAGCCTTGCACTGAATACTCAGGGCAGAACAACACAATTAAGGATGTAATACAAGCAGCAGCGACAGTTGCAAGCACAATAGGGAACCGGGCTGATAACACAGGCTTAACTCACCGAAAGCACTTTGACGCAACAGAAGAGACATCCAATTTATAAAATCTGGCGAATGTATTCTGAGAAGACCAGCCAGCAGCAAGACACAAGTCCCTTATAGACATACCTCTAGACCAGGCCCACGAGGAGGCAATCGCCCTCGTTAAATGAGCCTTAATGCTTAGGGGACAGTCCACTCCCTGGCAATCATAAGCCAAAGCAATCGCTTCCACAATCCAGTGAGCAAGTCTCTGTTTCGAAACTCCACGTCCCTTATTACAACCGCCAAAGCAAACAAACAGCTGGTCCGATTGACGAAAAGCGGCCGAGCGAGTCATTTACATCCGTAAAGCCCTGACCGGGCAAACAGCACTCTGAGCATCAGTGTCACACGAGACTGATGACTCAGAAGATAACGCCGGTAAGAAGACAACCTGCGCTCGGAACGGAGTGCTGAGAGACTTCGGAACATAACCCTGTCTCGGTCGAAGAGTGACATTACAATCACCCGGTCCAAAACGAATGCAGTCCTCGTGAACCGAGAACGCATGCATATCCCCCACGCGTTTCGCTGAAGCGAGAGCGAGAAGTAAAGCAGTTTTCAGGGAAAGCTCCTTGATGGCTATTGAAGCCAGAGGCTCAAACGGTGGATTCGATAAGGCCCTCAACACTAGTGCTAAATCCCATGGCGGCACAGAAGGCGGCTGTGACGGGCGTAATCTCCTAGCTCCCCTGAGAAAACTGATCACCAGCGCATGCTTGCCGATCGACTGCCCTTCGACCGGGGGGTGAAACGCAGCAATAGCAGCCACATACACTTTTAGAGTGGATGGTAAACTCCCGTTATCCATCCTGTGCTGGAGGAAGCTTAGAATATCCGACACGGAACAGTTGCACGGGTCAATACTGATACTCTGACACCATTTAGAGAAAACTTCCCATTTCAACTTATACAAGCGCCTAGTGGATGGGGCTCGCGCTTCAGATATAGTGCCCAACGCGCGAGAGTGCAGAGCGTCTCGCTCATTTAAAGACCCCGCAGCGGCCACACATGAAGGCTCCACAGCCCGGGGTTGGGATGCCATATCGTGCCGTTCGCCTGCGATAACAGGTCCCTCCTGAGAGGAATTTCCCATGGGGAGTCCACTAGCAGCTCTATCATGCCCGCGAACCAGGGCTGATTCGGCCAGTACGGGGCTACGAGAAGCACAGATGCTTTTTCCTCCCTGATTTTGCACAACACTAGAGGCAGAATCTTCACCGGAGGAAAGGCGTAAAGCCTGGCTCTCGGCCAACGCGAAGTCAAGGCGTCGGATGTCTGACCCAGGGGGGAACGAGACAGCGAAAAGAACGTCCGACAGTGTGTGTTCTCGTGCGACGCAAATAGATCGACCTCCGCCCTCCCGAATCGATCCCAGATCATCTGCACCGATCCCGGGTGAAGCCTCCACTCTCCCTGAGGAATTCCATTCCTCGAGAGCATATCCGCTCCGCGATTCAAAACACCGGGAATATGCGCCGCTCTCACTGATAAGAAGTGCCGGTCTGCCCACAGCAGGAGACTCGCTGCCTGCTCGAATAGGGGCCTGGAGCGTACGCCCCCCTGGCGATTTATGTACGAGACCACCGATGTGTTGTCGGTCCGAATTAGTACATGCTGACGCTCTAGCTGAGACCGGAAGGCTTTGAGGGCTAAGGAAACCGCCTTCAACTCCAAGCGGTTTATGTGCCACCTCCGTTGTGACTCCGTCCACGAGCCGGAGGCAGTCGCGCCCATGCACACCGCTCCCCAGCCTGAAGTTGATGCATCCGTCAAGACCGCGATGCGATTCGCTACGGTACCCATAGGGACCCCTGAACTGAATAACGCTGGGTCTCTCCACGGCGCCAAAGTGCGAAAGCAGCTGTGAGTGACCGTGATGCGCTTGAGGCCGGTCGCCCACGCCCCCTGAGGGACCCGGAGCTTCAACCAAATTTGAAGCGGACGCATATGAAGCAGACCCAGATGGCATACCGGGGAGGCTGCCGCTAACAGACCTAATAGTCTCTGAAACTCCTTTAGTGGTACAGACCTGCCCGGTCTGAAGCGATGCAGAGACAATGCCAGAGACTGTATGCGCTCTTGAGAGAGATGTGCTCGCATCGTTACAGAGTTCAAACACACTCCCAGAAACGTTGTGGTCTGACTCGGCGTGAACACGCTTTTCTGTTCGTTTACACGCAGTCCCAGCGAGTCCAGGTGACGGAGTAATAATTCCACATGACCGATTAGCACCTCTCGCGAATGGGCTAAAATCAGCCAATCGTCCAGATAGTTCAGGATGCGCATTCCGCTCGACCTGAGGGGAGACAGCGCCGCGTCCACGCACTTCGAAAAGGTGCGGGGGGCAAGAGCCAATCCGAACGGGAGAACTGAATACTGGTAAGCTGTGCCCTCGAACGCAAATCTCAGAAAACGCCTGTGGCGCGCTGCTATCTGAATATGAAAGTACGCGTCCTTTAAGTCCACTGAAGCGAACCAATCCCCGGGACGAACCTGTGCCAGAATTTGCTTCAGAGTTGTCATTCTGAACGCGCGCTTGTGAAGCGCTCTGTTTATGGGTCTCAGGTCCAAAATCGGACGGAGCCCCCCCCCTTTCTTCGGTACCACAAAATAGCGGCTGTAGAAACCGCTCTCCCTCTCGCTCGGGGAAACCGGTTCTATAGCTCCTTTCTCGAGCAGGCTGAGCACTTCTTGTCTCAGAACGGGGGCGTTTTGGGGCAGTGTTAATGACTGGATCACGCCGTTGAAGCGGGGTGGTCTGCGTCTGAACTGAAGCGAGTACCCGTGACGAATTATGCTTAACACCCATGGGGAAATCCCGGGAATTGATTCCCATGCGCCCAGAAAATGACTCAGAGAGTGAGCTCGAACTGTGGTCATGGCTGCTACCAGTGTAGTGTTTAGACTGGAGCCGCGTTCCCGCGAGGCAGAAACCCCTGGCGGGAGGGCGGCTCGCGGTGGGCTGAGTGTGGTGCTGGCAATCTCTTGCCCATGAGATGCCATTATAGTCATAGATTGTGGCCCTACACTGTCCCGGGAGAGGGCGGGTGACACAATATGAGGTGCAAGAGGAAGAAAAAGCTCCTTTTGTGAAGGGGTACATGCTTTTATTGAACAAACAGCATTTACACACATACGATCGTCTCTCAACAGAACATGAGGGATACGATGAACACGGCGCTTGGAGGCCGGCCCCTCTTCGCGCTCTCTCTTCCTCTTGCCCAATCCGTCAGGAAGACGGCTTTGGCGCGGAGGGGGGCGCGCTGTCCTTCCCTCGGCGCGGGCTCCTTCTCTGGCCATGGCCCTTCCTCCCAGGACCTGGCCACTGTCTTCCCCGGGAAGCACGAGCATCCGGCCCGGTGCGATGCACTGTGGGCTGACTCCCTGAACTCTGAGGGCGGCGAGTAGCTGAAGACGAGCGCGAACGCTGCTGAGACGGGGGTGCTCGACGCGGGATCACGTGACTCATGGCTTTGGCACGTTTCTGGGTCTCCGAGAAACGCTCCGTGACAGCCTCCACCGCGTTCCCAAAGAGACCAGCCTGGGTGATGGGAGCATTAAGCAGGGTTTTCCGGTCAGAATCTTTAACATCGGACAGAGTCAGCCACAGGTGTCTGTGGAGGACGACCAGAAAACCCATAGAGCGGCCGATAGCTTGCGCTGAGCGTTTAGTGGCCAACAGCGCAAGGTCCGTCGCCGAGCGAAGGTCCCGGACGGCGTCAGCGTCGACAGAGGCGACGCCATCCAGAGACTTTAGCAGTTTCGCCTGGAATACCTGGAGGATAGCCATAGCGTGGAGAGCTGAAACTGCCTCTCCCGCTGCCGCATACGCCTTATCCGCCTGGTGGGCCGTGAATCTGCAGGGCTTGGACGGCAGGCTGCGGTCCGCGCCCAGTGCAGACGTAGATGGGCATAGGTGAGAGGCGACGGTCTCCTCGACGATGGGCATGCGCAGATAACCGTGGGCTACGGCATCGTCGACGTGCGCGAACAAGGACTGGGTGGCAGAAAGACTGCGTGCTGACTGGGGCGCAGCCCACGACTTGACCACGTGCTCGTGAAGGTCCGGGAAAAACGGGGTTCCCCTCCTCGAAGCGGCCTGACGGCGGCTCGACTGAAGGAACCAGGTGTCCATTTTGCTTTTAGCTTGTTCGTCCGGCGCGTTCCAGGAAAGGTCCAAATCAGCGACGGCCTTAGTAAGGACTCTGAAAAGCTCCTCTTGGAGGTCTGCAGGACTCTCCTGCTCCGTAGGCGCGGCCTGCTCGGATCCCCAGTCTTTCTCCGACGCTGATAGGGACATAGCGTCCTCCTCCTCGCTAGCTCCAAAGGAGATGAAATCCGCGACGTCGCGGGGGGGGCGGAAGCTATCGTCCGCGAAGCTGACGGCTTCGAACTCCCTTACCCTGGGAGGGGAAGGGCCCACCAGCGGCTCGCAGGCGGCAGCGGGCCCAATCCCTACGGCTGCTCGAGCCATATCCCTCCTTGCCTTGAGGGCGCGCACGGGCATGTCCGCGCAGTGGGGGCACGAGAGGTCGTCAGACAGAGCCGACTCGGCGTGGGCGAGGCCCATGCAGGTGATGCAGAAAAGGTGGGTGTCCGGCGCAATAATAGGCCCCGAACACAAATTGCAAGTAGATGCCATCGGATGCAGAAGACAGTGTGGTATCTTAGGTGCACCTTCGACGACGGCGAATGGTAATGTAATTCCAAATCGTAAGCACACGTCGATTTGAGCGTGAAGAAAAGGATTCTGATGCAATCGACGAACAATATGCAATTTATACTGCCAGGCTAGGCAATATTTGCATATTTTGCGTCAATTGGCCAGCTGTCGTCAGCTGGCGTTAGCCCATAAGATTTCAGCAGAAGTGAAGAAGGGGAGGAGTTCCCATACTACGTCATCGACGTAAATGTCGAAGTGACCGCCTTGAAAGGGAACCATATCATATAATAATATGTAATTTTCGTCTCGTCTTTGTTCGTGAACTAAAATGTCCATAGATTTTAGCCCAGTCTTTATTTACCGAACTGCATTTTCGTCTCGTCTTTATTAGTCTACGAAAATTATTTCTGATTTACTCCCAGTTATTGTTTATTAGTGGGGATTTTAGTCTCGTCTCGTCTAGTTTTCGTTCGGTGAAAAATGTGCGTTGACGAAAATATTTTTGTTTAGTTTTCGTTAACGAAATTAACACTACTGCCATCCCGCTTCCTCTTTTTTTAGGCAGCGTGGGTGACTCAATCTCAATGTTGACACCTGATGTGTACGTGTCTGATGATGGAGGCTACACCTGGCAGCAGGCTCTGAAGGGGCCGCATTACTATGCTATCCTGGATTCAGGAGGACTGCTGGTGGCCGTCGAGCACAACGAGCAAAACCCATCCAAACTCATCTCTGAGATTAAGTGAGCTTCCTGTAGTTCTTAAGATGAAACCTATACAATTGGCTTTTATATGGATGGTTTTCCATGCCAAGCTGAAGAATATGCTAATATTTCCACATGCAGAGTGCCGGTACATGCTGTAAAACTCATGATTTGTGTGTTTCTCAGGTTCTCCACCGATGAGGGGCAATGCTGGCATGTTTATAAGTTCACCCAGACGCCGATGTACTTCACAGGGCTGGCCTCGGAGCCTGGTGCCCGCTCAGTGAATGTCAGTCTCTGGGGTTATGAAGATGCTTTGATCAGCCACTGGGTAACTTACACCATTGACTTTAGAGACCTGCTGACACGTAACTGTGAGTGACCAGTTCACAAAATCAAAGACATTTATATAATTATATATTTGGGTTTAGCACAAACTAATCGGTCGCTGTCTATTTCCCAGGCACAGAAGGTGATTATGTCCAGTGGCTGGCTCACTCTGATGACATCAGCGACCCGGAAGATGGTTGCATGCTGGGTTATAAGGAAAAATTCCTGCGTGTAAGAAAGGACTCTGTGTGTTGGATTGGCAGGGATTACATAGTCAACAAGCAGCCCACACCATGCAGTTGCACACTGGATGACTTCCTGTGGTGAGTGGAAACCAAAGATAATTGTAGCTTTGCTTTTTCTAATTCTACTTTGAAAAATATTTTAGTTTTAGTTCATTTGAGGAATGGATTGTTCAGTTTCAGTTTAGTTTAGAATATATTTTATTTTCGCTTTGGTAATTCAGGTTTAGTTTAACATTTTGGACTGCATTTTTGGATGCATTTCCAGTGCAATGGTCAAATTAATTTTTGTCATTAACCCACCAAACCATTCACCCACCCAAACAATTGATTTTCTCTGATTTAGATATCCGTACCCGATTCACATTGCAATTATTCAAATGTTCAGTGTTAAGCATGATGGCGTGTTACATATTACACTGAAGTAGGCTGCTTTTAAATTAAAAGTTTATTTAAAGTAAAAGGTTCTTCTTTGGCAAAATTACATTTCCTTAATAGCCTAAACAAAGGATTTACTCCGTTAAATTCTTAAATTGGAATGTCTCTGTTTTCGTCATTGCGACTTCCCAAGCACACACAAAAAAAATTAAATAGGTTCACCCCAAGCAAAGGCTAGACATAGGCATAATTTATTAAATGAATGTCATATACATACAGTGCTTCATAGCCGTAACATAGGCTATCATTCACATACCCATCACTTAATTCGTCCTGGTTAACTACTACACTAAAAGAATCACAATGTTTTGGTTTCAAACAGAGATCATGATTTTCTCACGATTCTGAACAGACAACTAAACAAAATAACATTCATTGACTCACTTGGTTCATTACATCGGATGCCCATTTTACACAAGTTGGTATGATTCTTTAGGGTCTTTATGTAAAATTTGTAACATATTTTGGTTAAAATTCCTCAATGGATGTGTAAAACAACACCCTTTTTACCTCCTCAAAAGCAACTCTGTTCACATTGACCCTTTTCAGTGCATGTCTCTTTAAATGATAATGAGCAATTGCTCACCCCACCCCTCTCTTCCTTGTGGGAAGTCGACACAAGACAACCTGCCATGGTGGACAGTATACAAATGGCTAAGGGCCGAAATATGCTAATACGGGACCGTCAGAGGTTGTAGACCTTAAGCAATCTGATATAATTTTGCTCAGAAAATCCAAACGGCTTAATTACTGAGAGTGTTTTTAGACTTTTTAAAGAAAATGAATGGATTTTTATCACTGTTTGGGGGTTGTGTCCACACAATGCAAAGACACATTTATATGCAAAAAATATAAAAGTGAATTAGTTTCATTGAATCTCTTGCTCAAATAAATTTTTTAAGTCACTTGTTGCCTCCTGTTGGCATATGTGAAGGACCATGTTACTTTTTAAAAGGTGATTTACTTTATTTTGATTGCTTCCATTTAAACTTTATTTTTTCCACTTCTTCTGTGATAATATGGATATTTGTAACATAGAAATAATGCTACTGTGTGGTTAAAAAAACAGTTTGTGAAGCTGTTATATAGAGTACTTCTCTATAACAAATCTTCTCTTCCCTCCTGCTTAGTGACTTTGGATACTACCGTAAAGAGAACAGTTCAGAATGTGTTGAGCAGGCTGAGCTCAAAGGCCACGATCTTGATATCTGCATCCACGGGAGAGAGGAACAGCTAAAGACCAGTGGGTAATGCCCTCTGGATTATTCTCCATTGCTTGAAGACTAAATCTTTGTCTTAAAAGTAGACAGTTGAGGGTCAAGGTTTTTCACTTGCTTTAATACCTTACATCTGGTTAGCGCCTGCTAGCTTCTATTTGACTTATTTAGAGAGCATGTGTATTATCATTTATTTACCAGGTACAGAAAAATTCCAGGGGATAAATGTGAGGGAGGAAAACAACCAGGAAGAAAAGTGATTGACCTGAGCAAGAGATGTGTCAGCAACCTGCTGTCGGACCCTCAGCTGCTGGTGAGACTGCATTTACCTTGCTACATATAGAGTGGTGCAGGTATGTAGGGGCATAGCAAGCTTTTCAAAAGTGGAGGGGATGAATGTGACATTTAAATTTTTGCATTAACAGCAGCTATTAATGACTAAAAAGCTTAAAAGGAACTGTTGTATATGCTGGGGTGCACTTTATAAATGATTGTTTTTTCCCACTGGATGTTGTGTGGGCCTCTGCCCCTTTATGGGGGGTTCAGGGGTATGCTCCCCGCAAATTTGCTCAATCTGATTGAAATTAAGAGCTTCAACCAGGAACCCTGACCTGTGCACATTGAACAAAGTAAAAGCATCGACCTAGAGGACTCAAACATCATTTTAGTTATGATATAGAGTCTCAGTCTTGTTTTAGAATGCCAAACATTTATTATGATTTATATAATTATTCCAATGATGGAAAATTCATATAGCCTATAAATGTATGCTACTGTATAAATGAAAATGAATATTTCTAAAGTATATTTTATATTACATTATAGAATAGGAAAATTACAATACTTTTGTCTTAATTTCTTCACTTGTAAGATATAAACCCTTGAGCTTTTATTTTGGAGAAAAGTGCGAGCAAAGTGCACACTTTTCTTTAAATCATGCGGCACAAACAGAATGCCTACTTAATTAAAGTCTTGTGCTGTTTAGTCTAAAAAAAAACGAAATATACCGAAATCACTCGACATGTCAACCAAACATAAACATAACATTTTCCAAAACACATATCAAGCTTTTAAGAACCTCAAAAGCATAAACTCTCGTTCAAAGTACCTGGAAAAGGGAGAAGTAAATAACTATAACTATAAGTTCCAGTAGAGCTCCTCAGCATGAGCTGACCGATAACACACCAAGAGAGGCGGGACTTAAGGCAGAACAGCCAATCATCAGCCAGTCACACTCAAAGCGATTGTAGTAAGACGTTTGTGCAAAAATGCAGAAAAAGTGTTGAACCCTCTCAGTGCGGGTGTTGAAGCCTCTCACCGGGAAAATTATGGGTGTTAAAACACCCACATCCCCTTCGGGTGGGACACCCATGCCCATGCACATTTAACCCCTAGTTGCTCCAGAGGCGTGATTCCTCTGACATTTTCATGCTGAACTCTGACATTTTCATGCTGATTTTGAACCTCAAATACTTGTGCGCCGCTGTTTACCCTGTATCTCTGTAATCCACAGACAGAAAAATCTACCTCACACACCGCCCCTATCATTGCGATCGTCATAGCCGTCCTGCTGACCGGTGCAGTGTTTGGGGTTCTCTTTGTAAAGAAGTATGTCTGTGGTGGAAGGTCAGTCTGTTCTCCAGATATAGAATATGTTTATTCATATAAAATCAAAATAAACATCTTTCGCCTTGGCCTAAATATTTTGCAGGTTCTTGGTACACAGATACTCAGTCTTACAACATAATGCGGAAGCCAACGCCGTAGATGAACCACTGGACACAGATGTGGCTGGAGCACCTAAGATTGATTTCCATGATGACTCAGATGAGGTACATAATCGGACCATCTCACACTAATACATACACCTAAATGGAATCTTCTTTGGTATTTTTGTTTAGGGAAAAAAAAGAAGCAAAATAGCAGGACTGATCTTGCTAAATGAATGTGTGTTTTTGGCAGGACCTACTGGAGTAAAGCTGTGCATTAGGTGAGCACAAGGAGCTACATTTCCTGTCATTCAGGCATTACTGCTGCGGTCTCTCCTCTCTCTAAAGCACAAACCAGCTGTCAGCTTTCTAAAACTTAATCTACCAGCTAATGTCACGTGCTTCCTTCTTCTTGACCAATGGGAGGGAACCTGGTTGCTTGTCCACCAATAGGAGGTTATTCTGATGATAGAATAGTCTTGTGAATGTAACTGCTGAGATTCTCTAAAGCAGAGAAAAAGTGTTTATAAGCTGCTTGTGGACGTTTCAGTTCTTTCTTTTGAAATTGGGGTCTTCTGGGAAGGAATTTAAGGATGCGACTGTCACTGGAGTACTTGTAAAATACTTGCTTTTCTTTTGATGTCCAGATGCTCTTACGTCAGAACTAGAGGTATATTATTATTTCAGCAGGAATTTCATTCAGCAAAAAGAGACAAATGAATCATATCATATGCGATGTTTAAAATACTGTGCTACTGAACCCTGACTGTGTTCATTACTAAAATGTGATCATACCTGCTGTTAAAGCTGTAGTTCCTATTTAGGATGTCCACTTTACTGTAAATAAGCAGCTGCATTAATGAATATAGCAATAAAATGCTGAGAAACAAGCAATAGATTTGACTTTACAAAAAGGGAGAATATATTTATAATTTCAGATTTATGAACATTATTAATTACCTGAAACTGTGTAGCTAGGCTGCGAGTTTGATAAAGTGAGATTGTTATTTGAACATAGAGATGATCTTCACATTACACATTTGTAAATAAGCAACTGTCACACTTGACGGTTAGGTGCAATTTTGTAATAAATATTTTTATGAGCCAAATTATGCAGATGCATGTAAAATAGAACACAACTGTAGTTTCTGTACAGACTTGAACATTTTGCCCAAATCAAATTTTGCAGTGAAATAGTTTTCAACATTTGTGTTTTTTCCAATTCGCATAAAGATGGCTAAAACCTGACTAAGTGCTTGTGTGACAAACCATTAGTCGCAATAATTTTGCATGTGTTAATTGTTTTCATGTTTGTGCAGCAACTTCAGCGAGGTGAGGACAGACCCAGTGGTCTGAAGTCTTTGACCATGTGATTTGATTTTGGGTATTCAAATGCAATAGAACAATTTAGAACCTTTCTATTGGTACTTCCTGTTTGCATAGATGCTTGATGTCTGATGCAGTGAGGTTTTATTTTATTAAGTGTGTATTGTGCTATTTTAAAGGTTTCAAATGTTGTTGTGGAGATCTCCTACAATAGGTTTACATGCATCCAAGGTTAAAAATCCCCTATTACCATATCTGAATTTCAGCTCCGGAGGCTTTGTCAGTGCTTGATACACAGTGATATGAACATTAACAATGGTGTCAGGTTTTTTTCTTATCAAATCCAGCGGTCTAAAGTCTTTAAAGATGTGATTTGATTTCGGATATTCAAATGCACTTGAACAGTTTAGCACCTTTCCATTGTTACTTCCTGTTTGCATAGATACTTGATGTCTGATGCATTGTTTTTTATTGTGTATTTAAATATAATTTCTACGGTTAATGTTGAGCCATGTTTCAACATCTCTAGGAGTTGTTTGCTTATATTCACATACCTAATAAAAAGTCTCTTATTTTCTTAAAGACAATCTCCTTTGCAAAAACTATGAGTTATATATGGTGTTGATAGGTATAAAATCCCTAGTGTATGTTTTGATTCAAGTGCCTAGCATGGAGGCAGAGCTTGTGCCTTCCAGTTAAATATAGATTAATTCAAAAAACGAAAACAATCTCATTTATGAAGAATTACCACAGTTCATTAGAACATGGTCTTTGACAAACTATGATAAAATATTTTGTGAGTATAAATTTTATACAATAAAATAAAAACAAACATGCCCCATAAATTAGTTAATACTTGTCTTGCTAAATTGGGTTGCTCTCCATGCTTGGGAATAATAAAAATAATAATAATAGATGCAATGTAAATGAAATCTGAAGCTAAATGATTTCCATTGTGGCTGATTTTATTTACATGAGGTAATGTCTTTCTTGCAGTGCAAAATCAATGTACATATTAGTTGTGAAGTTCTGTATATACAGCAATTCTGACTTTGTATCTGTTGTATTTTTTGCTCTGTATATTTGGAACTGTTTGATTGAGAAATAAATTGATTTGCCCCACAGATTGTGTATATGTATTGCTCATAAGAGTAAAAAAGCAAATGTGATAAAATATGCAATGTGCAAAAGTGTACAATAACTGTGACAAAGTTCCTTCCAATTAAATAAGTTTTTCAATCATAAAAGAACAGGCCTAGACTTTAGCAAAAAAGTGTCTTGATAAACATGGAGGACTTGGCAGCCACTCAAATTCTGTACAGGAAGTTGCCTTCGTTGTCAAAAAAATCACTTCCCTTTTGTTTCACTGAACTGGGGGTTTTCAGCAGCGTCTGTGCGATGTGCTCGAGCTCTTCCTCTGTCAGGATCACTCCATCCCACTCTTCTTCCTCCTCCTCGAACTCGATATCATCTCTCATGCCCATTTTCTCTGAAGAGTCAGTCTGCTCCTGCAAAGCAGGTGTCTGTCTGTGTACAGCTGACAGTACTTGAGATGGTACAGCGTTTCCACCAGAGGGCGTCAGTCCAGTCTCGCCCTCCCTCACTGCCAGGGCTGTTTTACTCTGTGTTGTCAGGGCACCTGTTTTTCCAGAGGAGAGTATTGCTGGTGTTGCACTCTTTGGCAGTCTGGACTGTTCAGTTTTGCCATCTCTGAGAGACTGCTGCCCTGTACTGACTAACACTTTAGAGTCCTGCTTTAGCTTTCGGACAACTGTTGGGGTGAATTTGCTGCGGAGGACTTTGGAGATGACATCAGGGCTTACAGAGAAACCCTCTGCTAATCTCTGTAGTGTCCATTCCTCTGGGGACTCCTGCTTTAAGTACCTGTGAAAAGAGACATATGACTGCTCAGTGTTTGGATTGACCCCATTTAAAGCATTTGCTAAGAAATATTATGTTAAAATGACACTTTTTAATATATAAAAATACACTAAAATTTAAGTACATTTATAAAGAAATATTAAAATACTGGGCAAAGCAAAACAAACACTTAATTTATATATTATTAATTTGCAACCACAGACACTTTTTCAATTAATTAATTATCTGAGATATTAAACACCAAGATTTCGTGCTTAACAAATATTAAAATGAATACTAAAGTCCTTCATGGAAATTTTCAATGTAGTCGCATGCAAGTAAATGCTGACAATAAACATACAGTTACACAAAAATGTCTGACAGCTGAGCTCAATGCTGTGACAGACCAATCAGAATCAAGAGCTGTGTAATAATAAACATACATATTCACACTGATATGATACCTTATCTGTTCAATGGCATCCCAGGTGAGTTTTCTCTCTGGGTCTCCAGGATTGTTCATTTGCCTCTTGATTATGTGAAACTTTGCTGCTTTATGCTTTCTCTTCTCTTCACTGCAAAGGAAATCATTTTAATACATGAAGACTGAGGTATTTGCTTTTGTGCTTCTGACTGTATAAGGACTCACCTAATAATGGAGTTCAGTTTGGCATCTACTGCATCCATATCATGGTCATCTTCAAACATGTCTTCCTGTTGTTTCTGTTTTGAATGTGAATCAAAATACCTCGGCGACATCCTTCTGTATGTGTCTCGACTGGCATGGCGACAAACAGGTCCTGGGAAAGGGGCCAGTTTGGTGGCCAACATGTAGGCCATCCTCCATGGTGTGGCCATTCTGCAAGTCACAAACATAAAGATTGTGACATCTGAATTAGCTACTTAATCCAACATAAAAATTACTATAATTATCAAATAATTATTTATAATAGGAGGCTGAAGAATAATCTGAGAACAAACTGAAAGTCAAGTTGTTGTTTTTATCATTTAAAGACTGCTTTCTCAGATTTGTTTTTCTCTTGATGCAGCTCAAAACCCCCCACTAAAATAATAGCAATTGCCAAACTTTCAAGTTTTATTCCTATCTATATTCTGAAGGTTGTTTTCCCCATATATCATTCGCCTGATTTATGTAACGTTAAAATTTTATTCCTAAAAATTGAAAAGCACTAACGTTATTTCTACGTCACTTCTTAAACGTAAGATAACGTTAGTTAGTAAACCATCGAACAAAAGGTCACATTGATTTACCTTGCTCTTTTCCGTGGCAAACTTTACATTTATACAACCATATAATGTTAAATTGCGAATTGTAGTAATTATAAGTTACATCTAGTACAGTGCCTGTAACACTCACATGTTCATCTTTTTCTCATTCTCTCCTTCCACGGTGACATTATTACACCGGAAGCATGTTTTATTCACGCATGCGCGGCAGTCATTCGATTATTTCCGACTCAGATCGTTTTTACTCGGTAACACTCGGCTCCGTTCGCCGATCACATGCGCCAAGCCTGCCCCTTTCTTCTCTGTGTGGCTCATTTTGCGCCATTTTGTCCGCACCACTGTGTTGATTGGGTTTTTGAGATCTGTTGTGGAGCCAATCAGAAGGGTACCGGACAACCGGAGAAACGGTAAAGGGTTGCGCTTGCTCTAAGGGAAATGGTAGCTGACAACACGGATTGGTTTGTCAGTGACCAACCAAATTACTAATTCCGAAAACAGAAATCAAATCGGTTAATTATACGTGAGGTAGAGAGCGCGAGCCAAAAGCTAAACCCGCTCGAGAACGGACACTGGACATGAATGAAACTGTTAGTGAAGCTATCGAAAACAAAGACAGACCTGCGAATGATTGTGAAATAGGGACTGTTTTCAACTAATTTAAAAGCATCCCAGTTAAATTGGTTCGCCCATTACAAAGAGCACATGTTTTTGAAATGCTGCAAATTTGTGAATTATTCAGACCTTCTCTTGTCAACTTTTCAGCCACTTACTTTGTGTGTGTGTGTGGCTAGCTAAAAACATCAGACAAACAGTCAGAATGTAATATAAGACTCATAATGTTAAACACCTTCAACAAGGAAACATTCAGTCTCAAAATACACCTGGCTTCTGGCCCAAACCTGTAGCCATCACGAAACCAGACAGAAGGCATGATTTCATAGAAGACTGCTAGCTTGTTGTGTCTGTACTGAACAATAAGTACGAAACGCCTTGCACCTCATTTATTTATTTATTTTATGTGGTTGTGACAAATTAGGTGAGGAAGGAGAGATGGAACAATATACAACTACAACCGGGGATCAGATAGTGGTGCAAGCTGCCAATGGGCAAATCCAGCAGCAGGTAAGAGTCAATGTAAACAGCTTACTGTTTAATCAGTGACTTTTACTCTGGGGAAAAGGACCATGACTGTGTGTTTGATTTTGTTTGTTTTTTCAGGCATTAAAAAAAAAAAAAAACTTGTCTAAATTGTACATTTTACCAAATGTACTGCAGATATGTATAAGGTCCAGTTGTATTTTTAAAATGGGAGAGTAATGTACTTCAGGAAGTGGTTACCAATTCAAGGAAAGGACTGAGTAAATAGTATTGAACTGGCCTGCAGTCTCTCTCCTTTGAAATGAAATGCCCCAGTCCTGATAAAAACAAGGTTTATGTGACACAAACACACCCAGTTTGCAATATTTAAAAAGCCAGATTTTGAATTGGAATGCAGGTTCTTGGTGTTGTACTGATAAATGGTTTACAATGTTTTCTAATCAACTTTTTCTGTACTAACTGGCTCTACCACTGAAAAGCTGAAAAGTGTCATGATTTTGTGCCAAAATTAGTTTTTATTGGATGGACTATCTATATATACACATATCCTCCCTTTAAAAAGTTGCTAAACCATTTTTTGCTTGTGAATCTGTTGAGAACCACTGGTCCAGAATATCAGAAAAGGTCAGTGTGAATTACAGGATTGGATTAGGACGTTTAAAATAACAAAGTGCATTTCTGTAAGAGAGAATGCAGAGCAAAGTGTGTTGTGGGATTGTCCACAGGCTCAGGGCACCGTAACTGCAGTACAGCTGCAAACAGAAGCACCTGTCGTTACGGCAACAGGCCAGCAAGTGCAGACGCTCCAGGTAGTTGTGTGAACTCCGACCTTCAGGCTTGTGATGTTGCATGCATCATGTCACACTGTCTGCGAGGATGTGAGCTCGTCCAGCATGCCTCGTTTTTACATACAGCAAATCGTGATCCGGTTCGTCTAATGTTCCATGTTGTCCATGGTATCAAAGCATCTGCTTGGGACACATTTTCAAGAAGAATAATTTAATGTGTCTGAAGATTTTGTAAAGTAACTATGGAGTCATTACTATGAGATCACTTGCATGTTATCAGCACGATATACTGATCAGTTCACAGCACTGTATGTATTTTAGATGAACTGCATGATTGTCTGATGATCATTTTGTAACATAAGAAATTCTAGCTCCCTCATTCCAGCGAATACCACCAGTCTGGGTCATTTTCTGTAGAAAATATAAAACAATCAAAAATGTCCATCATAAACAGTGATGTTTGTCCTGTGTAATGTCTTATATTGTGTTTAAAATCTACATCTCACCATGCTAACTTTCAGTTTAATTGTGCGCTCAGGTCCAGGGTCAGCCATTGATGGTCCAGGTGAGTGGCGGGCAGCTGATTACATCCTCAGGTCAGCCCATCATGGTACAGGCCATGTCCGGAGCTCAGGGCCAGACCATCATGCAGTTGCCTGTGTCTGGAGCTCAAGGCCTTCAGCAGGTAAGTGCCGTTCACTCATTGTGGGAAAGTCTCCTTAAATAGATCTGTAGATTGTCCTGTTATACTGAACAGCAAAATGATCTACATATGCCTCTGATATTATGTTAATATTGCACATATTTTATGAAACAATGGATGAGGATAATGATTATCATTATTAAACTTAACAGGAAAATGATCTTAATATCCCTTTGTTGTTATTATTATTAATGTTCATATTATATTAAACAATGGCTTATAATATTTCAAGGTAAAATCGTCTACATTCGTCTCTGTTGTCCTTATTATTGTAATCTTTTATGTGTAAATGTAGATCCAGTTGGTTCAGCCGGGTCAGATTCAGTTGCAGGGAGGTCAAACTCTGCAGCTGCAGGGTCAGCAGGGTCAGACTCAACAGTTCATCATACAGCAGCCCCAGACTGCCATTACCGCCGGCCAGAACCAGGTCTCAAACACACTTTATTCTTTTCTCTGGTCTGTTTAGTTGGAATGTAACTAACAATTACAAACCTAAAACATTTATGCAAATGAATAACATTGTGGTTAATATGACGTGGGAACGTTCTACTGAATTTTTTCACTGATACTTTATGTTAAGATGAATGCTGTCATGACTAGAGTTTGTGTAATTGGAATATTTTTCCAGATTTCTTTTCAGGTGACTTTACACTGGTTATGTTGTATGAACTGTAAATTAATTTGTATTCTGTATTACAGGGGCAGCAGATAACATTACAAGGACAGCAAGTTGCCCAAACAGCTGAAGGACAGACCATTGTATACCAGCCTGTGAACGCTGATGGCACAGTTCTGCAGCAGGGTATTTAAATACAATACCTATACCTGGTTTATCTGTCTTCAGTGAACATGAAATCAGACATGAACTAGATAAACTTACTAGATGATCAATCAGGGTTTTAACAAACATGAATATGATTCAGGTGAGGACTAATATGTTATGATCCTCCATAGGCATGATCACCATCCCAGCAGGCTCCCTGGCAGGCACTCAGATTGTCCAGGCTGCAGGGGCCGCTAACACCTCCACAACCAACAGCGGGCAGGGCACAGTCACAGTTACTTTGCCAGTATCCGGAAACATGGTGAACACTGGGGGAATGGTCATGGTAAGACCTCCTGATGAGGTATCTAACAAACTTAAACCGTCCCCTTCATTAGTCATCACAGGTGTAGGAGGGTGCATGCTGTGTTAAAACTCAATCACCTTGCTTGTGGACTCGCCTTTTCACGTGCTGATCCAACCTTCTGAAAAGTAAATATATTTGAAGAGTTCAGATGCAAAAGCCTCTAAATGCCATTTGAAATTTTCTTCTTTAATGATGATTTTTATCAAACTTGTATATTTAAGTTCAGTAATTTCACTTACCTATTAATTGTTATTTAAGTGAAATTACTGAACTTAAATATACAAGTTTGATAAAAATCATCATTAAAGAAGAAAATTTCAAATGGCATTTAGAGGCTTTTGCATCTGAACTCTTCATTTGTTCAAATGATTTTACCTTAAAGGCATAGTTCACCTAAGGGCTGGGCAATATGTCTAATCGAATATTCGAAAATCGTGACTCTTCCCTACTAAAGTAAACAGCGCTGAAATTCAATGAAGAACACACGTTTTGGTGATTTAAACTAGTTTAAAGCCAGACGAAACAGCGCGGACTCTCTCCACAGCACTAACAAACACAAGAAACATTGTGCAATGAATGAACTTGTTAGAATTTTTTAATCTACAAATCACCATCATGTATAATGGATTTACTGTAGAAACACAAACTGCACAATGTTATTGTTGCTGAAAGTTGTGTTATTAAGCTTTAGTGTTTTTGCATTTATATTTATAATAAATGTATATAGGCTACTGTTTTTAAAAACAAATACCATGGAACCCATATAGTTACTTTTTGCGTGCTATATTAAAGGTCCCCTGACATGAAACCTTCACTTTCTGATGTTTTTTAACATTCATATGAGTTCCCCCTAGCCTGTAAATGGTCCCCCAGTGGCTAGAAATTTCAGTCGGTGTAAACCGAGCTTTGTCTATCTTTCTCTGCCTTTGAGAAAATGAAAGCTCAGACGCGCTGATCTTGAATCTCCTCCATATGATGTCATTTGTAGGAAAGGTAACCTCCCAGAGAGGTTAGCCCAGCCAGAGAATTTGGCTCGCCCATGAGAAAATGAGCTAGGAAGTAAGCGCAAGCGCGTTTTGAGTTTTTCCGAGAGAGATATCATTGCTTGCAAACGAGCGAAGCATGGCAGCTGATCAGTGTTCGCATGTACAAATGAACACAAAAGTATTTTTTAGTTCCTTCATCCGAGCCTCTGAAGAAACAATGGGTTCATTTTATTTCCTCTGGAAATGCGCCAACACAACTTCCCAAAGTTTTGTATGGTCCAAACATTTCACCGACGACTGCTTCCTCAACTTGGGCCAGTACACAACTGGCCTCGATGAACGTCTGAAAATAAATCCATCGAGCTACCAAGCAACAATTTCTGATGTGCAGCCTAATTGTTCAAGTTCAGACCGTTCATCTTTCTTTCAAAATTGTTCAATACTGTTTATGCATAAGTCAAACCAGTGACTAAAATGTCAACTTTACATTGTTTCTTTTAGTAGGATGAAAATATCTTATTTAAATTGTGAACAAATTATACATAAAGCGATCAAAGAACAATCTTTCCACACAGCGCGAGTTTATCTGGACAACTTGCTATGAAATCAATGACACACGTTACATTGCACAACGAATATCTTACTGTATGTACATCATCGTGTTTGCATTGGTGAAAGCATTAGAGAGAGTGCAGAAACTGCGTTGCAACGATAAGATCCTTAGCCTCGCGATCAACAAACCATCATCTGCTTGCTCAAAGCTCATCACGGGAATATTTTATGTGATGGGAATAGATCTAAATACTTTAAAAACTTCTCACGATTTGTTAATCTCGATAGCTGTAATAGTAAAAACATGTAATAGTTGTAGTAAAAGTATTCAAGAGAGTTTCACATGTAATATGTAGCTATTTCATATGCAAGCATGTCAGCCAATCACAGCAGTGGGCGGTTCCACTAAATCCCACAGCAGACACGCCCCTTCAAACAGAGCGTTCAAATCAGAGGCTAAAATCAGGCTAAAAACAACTTTTATTTATGACTATTTTTTTACTATGTAAAAAAACATACTAACATTATAAGGGAAACCCAGGAAACATTATAGAATAATAAAATAACCCCATGTCAGGGGACCTTTAATGGTTTACTTTGGTGATTATTTGAGATTGTGAGAACCATGGTAGACTCTCTTAAACTGTCAGAATATAACATTTTTACCCAAATAAAAATTAGGTTGTAACAATTTGTATAGATGTTACTATTTTTCTTAAATTGAACTTCATCACCAACTCAAGCTACTGTCAAATGTGCATTTCTTAGGGAGAAAACATGTAATAATTCACATTGCAGATTGCATGGCAAACTGTACCAAAGATATGAGCCAATAAAATCAGGTAAAACAAACCTGTTATATGATTGAAACAATATCACCTCTTAGAACATGCAGAAATTAAACAATACATTTCTATATATATATATATATATATATAATATATATTTATATATATATACAGTATATGTTTATTTTGTCAAGGAAAAAGGAAAGAAAAATGTATAGAATTAAAGTGTACCTACCTCAGGTTTGGGAAATATTTGTCATGTTCTTACAATAAAGAGTAGTTTAAAACCACTAAGAGCCTGCTTTTACAAGCACAAATCTGACTCAAAAATTGGGAAAAAAAGTAAGATTTGACATTTATTGTGATAATTATCGATATCGACTCATATGAAAACATTTATTATTATATCTTTTTAAATATATTTTATGGCCATATCTCCCAGCCCTACTTCACTGAAATGTTGTTTCAAACTCATATGACTTTCATTATTCTGTGGCAGTGTTAATTTATCATTTATATACTTTTATGGCATTTATTAAAATTAGCTTTTATTTTATATTTTCAGTTTTCAGTTGAATTTTATTTTTTATTTTTTTAAAAAATATTTTTATTTATTTTATTTATTTTAGTTTTAATAGTTTTAGTACTTCAACTTAAACTTGTTAATATCAGTTATCATCTTGGATATCAGATATATACAACATCTGTATTTTCTACTTGTTTTTTTATTTGGATAAAAAAAAATCTATGTTGTCCTATAAACAATGGTTATATTAAAGGCTATGGAAACAAATAATGTAACCATGTAGGCTTTGCTATTATGTGCAAAAGATCCTAAAATCCCATTACATTCTGACATTGTAACTACTCTTACAATCTAAAAACAAAAAAGCCTTTAAAGCAGAAGTTAAATTCACTGAACTAAAAATTAAAATAAATTAAAACAAAAGCACAGACTGAATGTTAAAGGGTTAGTTCACCCAAAAATGAAAATTCTGTCAGTATTTACTCACCCTCATGTTGTTCCAACCCCGTAAGACCTTCGTTCATCTTCGGAACACAAATTAAGATATTTAAGATATTAAGATCGCTCCTGCATACAGTCCATAGGCTTCTTGAGGGACTGGCTCTTGCTGTCCTCGAAAAGTCATTAAAGACATCGTTAAAAAAGTCCAAGTGACTACAGGGGCTCAATCTTAAGTTTATCAAACGACGAGAACACTTTTGTGCGCAAAAAACAACAAAAATAACGACTTTATTTCAACTATTCGTTTATTTCTCCCTCTGCGCGAGTCAGGTTACTAGTTTAATAGCGTAAGTTTCTGTTATTGTACGTCACACGCATCACACACACATGACCAGCGTCGGCCAATAGTGAGCCTACGTGTGACGTAGTTCTACGCAATCACACTACGTTAACTGACTTACAGGCTCATGGAGAAGGAAGTGAATAGTTGAAATAAAGTCGTTATTTTTGTTGTTTTTTTGCGCACAAAAGTGTTCTCGTCGTTTGATAAACTTAAGATTGAGACCCTGTAGTCACTTGGACTATTTTAACGATGTCTTTAATGACTTTTCGGGGACAGCAAGAGCCAGTACCTCAAGAAGCCTATGGACTGTATGCAGGAGCGATCTTAATATCTTAAATATCTTAATTTGTGTTCCGAAGATGAACGAAGGTCTTACGGGGTTGAAACAACATGAGGGTGAGTAAATACTGACAGAATTTTCATTTTTGGGTGAACTAACCCTTTAATTATTATAAGCTAATACCAGATAAGGGAAACTCCTTCATTTATCTGAGCTTATAGTAATATAGTCTACATTTGATTACCCAATTGCAATAGTCACTTTACAGTTACTGCTGTACACTTGTAGGTTTAAAATCTACAAATGGCACATTCAATGTACAACAAGAAATATTTGAGCAAAATGTATATCCGATGTGTCTGTCAGAGCTTCTGACAGAGGAATCCACTTATGTGAACAGTGCTTTGTCATTTGGAGCCTGACAGCCCGCAGATCCCCAGATTCAATTTCATTATCATATAAGAAAAAAAGATTGCCTAGGACACATTTTTCCTTTTCTGTTCCATGAGAGAAAGAAAGTCATACAGGTTTGGAACAACACAAGAGTGTAAGTAATGATATTGTATTTAAGGTGAACTATTAATTTAATATGTAATAGCATTCAGTGTCTTTCAATTTAAAAAAAAAAAAAAAAAATCCTAGTTTCAGGAATCTTCCTTGAATTTGATGATTTACTCGGAAGAATGTGGAAAGTGGCGACCTCCATCTGCTCTGTTAATATTTAGCATTGATTCAGGTGTAAGGATGATATCTGCCTGTCACCTCTTCACAAATGATCCACTCAGCTGTTCTGTGGGTGTCCTTTTCTCACGCTAGTGTGTCATCAAATTTCACTCCATATTACATCAGCTGTCACCTGACAGATCACTGACTGGATTGCTAATTCATTTGATTCGATTAATTGATTGATTGAAGTTGTTAATACATTTTTATGTCCGTTCAGTTTTGGACATAGATTGAATTAATTCTGTGTGCCCCTTTTCTCTCCTTCCCGCTCTTCCAGATGATGCCGGGTGGTGGTACTGTGCCAGCCATCCAAAGAATCCCTCTGCCAGGAGCCGAGATGCTCGAAGAGGAGCCGCTGTATGTTAATGCCAAGCAATATCATCGTATCTTAAAGAGACGGCAAGCTCGTGCCAAGCTGGAGGCAGAGGGAAAAATCCCTAAAGAAAGAAGGGTGAGTCTTCCTCTTCTGAATGCCACGATGCGCATCTTGAAATGAATTTGGTCTCATATCCAGACTGATTCCTTGCTCTCCCCTACAGAAATACCTTCACGAGTCGCGTCACAAACACGCCATGCAGCGGAAGCGTGGTGACGGGGGGCGCTTCTTCTCCCCTAAAGAGAAAGAAGAAATGGCCTTGGCCATGCAGGTGAGAGCGCAGGGCCATGTCAAGCAGGAAGACCTCTGCAATGCCACCGAACTCGCGAGCGCGCATTGGCTGTCCGAGCACGCTCCGCCCCTCGCTTAGACGCTCATCTCCGCTTAGCAGATGCATTCTCACTCCTTTCCCGGTGTGACATGCTGTCATTGGCTGCTCTTGCACGCATCACCTCCTGCTTTTTCCTGTGCTTGTTGGCTGCTTGAGTCTGTCCCATCATGTCTCATTGCTAGTTAAGCATTCGTGCGAACAGACCGCATGATTTGCGAAATCTGCCGTGTGGTGTTTTATGACCTGCCTGTCTGAATTTGGATTTCTGCAATGTTTAACAAGAAAAAGATCATCTCTTCACAATCATGACATAATCACAATGAAAACACTGATATTCTTCCGAATTACTGATGCAATGTGACTGACTTTATCATGTGATTGTTTCTGTTTGATCTAAGCACCATTATTAACAGCATGGAGGTTAAAGAATGAATGCTCAGTTAGCTAAGCTCAATCATGAAATCACTGCCTGAATTTTTTTTTATTATTATTTATTTTATTTTTTTGAGGAACCGGTTTAAAAGAAATGAGTTTTTTTTTTAAATGTATATATTTTATGTTGTTTTGTTTACTATATTTTTTTGTTTGGTGGATACTGTTTTTTTTTCTCATTTGGCTTAATCTGTGCAGTGTCGTCACTGTGTTAATTTTTGTCGCATGTTGTGATTTTTATGCTGAATAAACATTTTGACTGACTTCCAAAAGGTTCACTGAGCAAAATAACTCAAACTACAAACTCAACTACCGTTTTAAAGTTTGGGGTCAGTAAGATTTTTTGGTAACACTACATTAAGGTTCATTAGTTGATATTAGTTAAAGGATGAACATTACATGTTATCAACATGAACTAACAATGAGCTATACATTTGTTACAGTATTTATTAATCTTTGTTAATGTTAGTTATTAAAATACAGCTGTTCATTGTTAGTTCATTAGTTCACAGTGCATTAACTAATGTTAATAAATACAACTTTGAAATGCTGAAGAGGTATTGTTCATTCTTAGTTCATTTTAACTAAGGTAATTAACAAATGAACCTTATTGTAAAGTGTTTTTTTACAAGAAATAAATCATTTTAATCAGCAAGGGTGAATTAAATGTGAATTAAATAGCTCAAAAGTGACAGTAAATACATTTAAAATGTTAAATTCTATTTACTAAATGCTGTAATTTTGAACTTTGTTAAAAAAAAATTAGCAGTTTTTCACATAAATATTTCTTGAGCTGCAAATCAGCACATTAGAATGATTTCTGAAGGATCATATGACAGATCATAATGAAGAAGTTATGCTGAGAATTCAGCTTTGACATCACACAAATAACTTACATTTTAAAATGTATTCAAATAGAAAACTTATATTAAATTGTAACTTTTCACGATATTGCTATTCTACTGTATAACTAATAAATGCAGCCTTGGTGAGCATACGAGACTTCTTTCGAAAACATTTCTTTGAAAAAACTTGCTGACCCCAAACTTTTAAACAGTAGTGCACTGTGATTCATCATCCCGTTTGCCTTGTCAAGTCATTTTTATTCAGAAATGTTTTGGGATTTAATATTTCCTGGTACTTCACTGACTAGAACAAGACAAATATCTGTTTTTAATTCTGTAACGTTAAACAGTTGTGTAGAACAGAAGTCTAACTTTTCCTGAAATCCAACAAAGTGACAGCTTGGTAAACATAAACCTTTTGCTGTTTTTTCTTGGTTATTCAGTGTTTTTCCTGATGCTAGAAGTCATGATGTCCCAAGCCTAGTAAAAAGGCTTAGTGCTGAGTGAAGCGTATCTCAAATTATGCGTGAGGGTAATGATTTACCGTCTTCTTCTCCCCTTCACCCCTGCAGGAGCAACAGGACCAGAACCAGACTGGAGACGAGGTTGTGGCCCAGATGATCCGGGTGTCCTAGCACTAGGACTGCTACCATTTTTAGAGACTCTGAAGGCCCAAATTTACACCATTGTGAATCTCCAATGCAACACTAACAGTCCTAATTCATCATTACCTGTGTTTCTCCTGTCTCATGTCTTCCACTGAAGGGAGGGGCCCTGTTTTCTGTTTTCTCTCTATGGTCTGCTATTGCTCCTGAGGACGCATATAAAAAGAGCCATTACTGTTAATGTACAGCATAATGAATTCAGCTTGCTGTTTAAAAAGCAATTCAATAGCAAAGCGTAAATTGACCCACAGAGACAGAGAATACGCAGCCAACCAAGGACTCATTTACCATGATGGTTCTCAAAGGTGGCAGTAGAAGCTCCTGTAGTGTTGTTCAGGCTATGTGTACATGTTTGGCATGGGGAAAAGAGCATCGGGGAAACAATAAAGGCAAAAGGGCAACATTTTTGGGAAATCAGTCCTAGTCACCAAGGAAACACTGAGCATATAGGGGTGTCCTTGTTTCCCTAGCTTTTATCCAGGTTTCCCTTAACATGAATTCATTTTAGTGTTTTGAAAAAATGATCATTTGTAATTGATACAACTATCATTTGTGAGTGAGTTTTGTGTATCCAGTGACCTGTCTTCCCACCTCATCTAGTTCCTACTTGGAAATGTGAATACTCTTGAGTTATTGTTTTGGATATTGAAGTAGTCTAACCTGTATTTTGATAAAAGTTGTGTGTGAAATGCATTGCGAAAGATCTTGCTTTGTCAACCTTTCTTTATTATTCTAATCTGTGTGAGCACAGGATGGATGTAAATGATCCTAATTCAAACAGTTCTATGATTCGATCTGCTAAAGTGCAATTGAATTTTATGTATTACAAAACTGAAACAGATATTTTAAAGCAGTGGCTCTTAGGATGCAGGATATATTTGTGTGTTTGTATTAGGTAAGCTACAGCAAAAGATACCTACGTCAGCAGTGACAGTTCACTCATAAATGAAAATTAGAACAAATAGGCAAGGACTGCGTATTGTGGAATTTAAAGGGATAGGTTACACGAAAACGAAACATTTATTTTTTTAATTTGAATTTCTTGTATTTCCAAAAGGCATAGACAGCCTCACCATTCACTTTCACAACCTTGTGTCTCACAAAAAAAATAGAAAGTCATACATGTTTGGAATAACATGAGAGTGAGTAAATGATAAGAAAGTGTGTGTGTGTGCCAACTGTCTAGTTAAACCCTATAGTCTATTTTCCAGGTCAGTTTTGCGCATTTGTTTACAGTTATCGTTTTGAGATTAATCCGTTTTCAAAATATATTCAATTTGGATTAATAAAGTTAAATTCGCATTTTCGTCAAGAACTGATTAAAAGAAGGTATTCGAAAAGCGACACATTACGGTACATGCACAGTTAAGACACGGTTCTCGTGTAACTTCCTCTGCGTGCAGGTGCTCGCCTTACGCCCCGCCCACCGCTGATGCTGCTAGCAGTCAACCGGACAGTCAAAAAATAATAATCTGTGGTCCACTGCGGCGTAGAGTGAAATTACATTCTTATAAACTCCGCATCCGTTTTCTCTCCTCATTCGACAGTTTATTCCTCTCCTTGAGACGTTTTTTGCGCAATCACCCCTTCCGCTTTTCAGATAGCCTAAGCTTTTGAAGCGCTTCAGCAACATAAGGACGAATCGAAAGGTTACAGTAACAGTGAAGGACTATCGCGTAAGACCACCGGCAACGGCTCGAAAACAACGTAGATTTAGATTGCCATGACAGACTGTGTCGAGGATGCGAAGCTGGAGGTGAAACAGGCCAGCAAAGAGTTTAAAGAGAGCGAAAACGTTGCTGAGAAATACTCCGCGATGACAGCCACGAAGAACAGCGACGTGAACATGAACGTCGGCGAGCTCTCCGCCGCATTCACTGCGGTCCCGACCCACAAATCTATGAAAAAGGTAAGAGGGATGTGACTTTTGGGACTAAACACACATAATGTGTATTCTGGAAATATCGCGCTTGAGTTTGAGACATTGCGTTAACTGGGATCGATAGGAAAGATTATCCCTGGCTAGAGTTGAACTAGAGGTGTGTGCTGGAGCCTATTAGAATCACGTGACGCATATTTCTAGCGTTTCTTTAGTTCTTTCTCGCCGCATCCTGTAAATGTCCTTGCGTTGGTCCAACTCTCACACCTGTCAGAGTAACTGACTTTTGTCCATCACAGTTTACAAATTCTAGAAACTATAAGCTCAAGAAAATGTGGATAAATATAAGACACGTCAGAGCACTTCACTAACTTACACAGATCAAAGAGTGAAGATGCAGATAGACAGACATATAGATAGATAGATAGATAGATAGATAGATAGATAGATAGATAGATAGATAGTCTGCAAGAAAGATGACACAACAGATTGTGTAAATGTGACCCTCTGAAGTGTGTGTTGTGAGTGGGTGGTAAAGAGGCGCACTACTCTGCCCACTCGCTCATCGAGTTGTCAGCTGGTTATACAACAGAGCCACAGGCTGTTCTGCTTATTCTCTTCAGCTGCATTACACGCAGCACAAATCCAGTGCTGACGTACTATTTAAGTAAGATGTCAAACATCTGAATTTTGGCTTGGTATATAGTGTATGCATTATTTTACAAGTGTTCTGAAGATCTAAATCATTCAACAGCAAAATTTTGCACAAAATGTGTGTAGAATTTATTTTGAAACCATTTTTTCTCAGAAATTACTATTTATTTTACCCATTGAATTATACATGACATTTCTAAGTAGATTGAGACTAAAAAAAGAATAACAACTTAAACAGTGGACTACAACACCAACAGATCTCTGTTTTTTATTTATATATCTGGTATAATAAATTTAGGGTCATCTTCCCAGCAAACACAGAACGTTTCCCTAACGTTCCCGAATGGTCCAATGAGGATATTTATTTGGGAACCGAACAAGAACATTATATGAACGTTACATGTAGGTTATTTTTAGGTTCCATTTTTATAACGTATGGAGAATGTTCCTTAACCTTAAGGGAAAGTTCTAGGAACGTTCTGGGAACCAAAAACTAACGTTCCCAGAACCTAAATTTGTTTGCTGGGTTATTCCTAACACTACCCATAAGTTATCCGTAAAATCAGCGGGTAATATTTAGTGAATAACTCCGAGATGCACCTAACCCTGGTTGTGTCAGCATAAACTTGACTTACAGTAAACTGTTAACTTGTCCCTAAAATCAGATTGGTTGATTGCAACGTTGTTCCAGAATGAACAAAGATGTTGATCCAGGAACATGTACTTGGTAACATTCCGTTCACCCAGAAGGGACAGAGATTTTCTGGTTGATTATGTACATTATGTGCTTTGCTTTTAGTGCAGACATTACCTTGTAACAGGTGAAGTGTCTTTTGAGAAATTCAATGGTTTGAATTTAAGATACATTTCTCTGATCTCGTGAATTTCCTCAATTATATATGTACTGGCAATGCTTTCCCCTATTAATCACAGTTTTTTGTGTAATTGTATCCTTTTCTCCTCACAGTGTGAGGGTGTGAGAAAATTTCTCTCTCAGTACCTCCACTAGCTTTGTCCCTCTGTGAAAAGGAGGCTCTGATAACATTGTGAAAGAAAGTTGCACTGAGCGGAGAAATATGACACACGTCTACTGAGCCGCTCAGGAACATTTTCTCCTGTTTCTCGGACCGAGTCTTGGCATGGGGCCGTGATTTGACCCTACCTGCTGAGAGCCAAGCATTGACCTTGGGTTCTCCTCCTCCTTGTGTTTGTTCTCTGTTTTCTCTTCAAATATTCAGCCCATGATCATACGGATTTAGTACAATATGGAGAGTTTAGTTTCTTCTTCTCTTTGAATAGATCTATTCCTCTCCTACTTTGACACACAATACTTTTTTATAGTCCATTCATCATAACGGAAATGGACTCTCTCTGCTTCCTTACCAATTCCTTGCTTGTTATACTTAATACACATCATTTTGAAGATTAGATCAAATTCCAGGTATTTTTTCAGGAAAGCTATTGGTTGCACGTCCAGTCCTGCTGAATGGATGCATTGAGGGTTTAGACTGATGTTGCTGCTTCAGTGCTTGAGCTGCCATTAGGGTCTCTTTACACCGAGCAGTCACCTGAGAGAGCTTAGATCGTGTTTCATTTATTCACATTAGACCATCGGCACTTCAGAGCCCAATTATCTCATTCACTCAAGTGGTTTGTGCAGAATGATCATTTTTTGACTGGGAGTTTCAGAAGTTTCACATTCTCAGCCAAATCCTGTTAAAGTCACCATTCGATCAAAATTCCTGTTTTTATGGAATATTGCGGTATTTATTACAATGAATTTTTTCGGGCAGGGTCTATGAGATCACAGCACTAGCAAGTCCACAACGATCCAATCAGTTCCTGATGGAGAAAATCAAGTTCTGCCCTGCTACATTAGAGCCATTTTGATCAGAAATACATCACAATATAGGAAAGAAAAGGCTATTTCAACTTCCATTTCATGCCGATTTTAAGGCAATTCCGTCAAGATGAATTGGCAGCAAAAAACAAAAACAAAAAACTGACTGATCTCATGAAATTGCGTGTGTATGACACGCCAATTCCTATTTCCATTTTTGGCGTTCTATCAACATGCATAATCGCTTTTCAGCGTGTTTATGAACACCGTAGACTTAACGTTATTACTGTATATATAAATATATGACCTACTTCAATCCCGTCCCTAAACCTACCCGTCACTGGGTGGGGTTAATGGCATTTATGAGTCTTCCCCTACCATCCTAGGAAAAAAAAGATCGCTCCCCAGATGTGTATCTACATTTTGCTTCGTTTCGCTTGGACATTTAACGGCGTGTACATACACGCGGAATCACTCGGACATTAATGGCGTAGACATACGCGGATACACGCGGATAGTTCGTAATGCGTATAGATAACACGCCACTTGACATGAAAGTGGCGTGCATGTTTACGCAAAAGTCATGATGTCATGTTGCAGTGCTGTTAGTGTTAAAACTCTGGTCATCATTAGAATGACACTGTGATCCGTGTATAAAGGGCTTTATGATATTACCCGTTGTAGGGATGTTAATTTAGTGTGATTTTTCTATAAAAAATATACAAATTAATGGTAATTTATCATGCCCTCTTTTCCATATGTAAATTCTTCAAAATGTTATTTTTATGCCATTAGAGTAATGGTCAAAAATGTCAGTCTGCTTGCGTATATAGACAATTAAACTATTCATATATATTTTACACTATTGTTCAAAAGTTTGAGGTCATTTCGTTATTGTTGTTGTTGATTAAATAAATTAATAAATTTATTCAGCAAGAGAATACATTAAATTGTTTAAAAGCTACTCTAAATACTTTTATATTTTACGAAAAGATTATATTTAAAATATATGCTGTTCTTTTGGAACCTAGCATTTATCAAAAATCCTGAAAAAAAAAATCATTAAGAAAAAATCAGTTTCTCTAAAAATATTAGGCAGCACAACTGTTTTCAAAATTGATAATAAGGAAATTATTAATGTGGAAAACGGTTGTGCTGCAATATTTTCTGTAGTTCTGTAAGCCATGATATATTTTTTCATGATTCATTGATGATTAAGAATAATTATACCATGGTCTGGGTGAATACTCGATTCTGATTGGCCGCAGGGTGTCCGTTAAAAAGTGATAGAGGACACCTAGTAAAGTAGTTCTGGTGAAACTGCCTGTTTAC